TTTTACCTCTCTGTTATCTGCCCTTCTCTTAATTTGCCCCAGCCATTTTCAGCCCATTAGCTCTTATGATACCAGTGATCAATGGTGATTTAAACAGATTATAAATTTCGTTTTTTTCTTCTCACTCTTCATTCCCACTATTTGCATCTTTGATGGGTCCAAAGGTTCGTCATAAGACTGTTTTCGAAATTTTTTAAAAACAATCTCTTTTAATCAAAGTTTCAGACCAAATACAACGACTTGTCTTGTCAGCGTTTTATATATTCTAATCTTGGTGTTGCGAGACAGACACTTTGACTTTAGCACATGTCGAAGGGCGTAGTATACTTTATTTCCAGATTGTATTTCTTTTCTCAGCATAATGGAGCAGTTGAAGTTTGCACCCAGGTACTAATATGTTTCCGTTCGTTTGATTTTCATATTATCGATTTTTGTGGGGCCGGAGTTTATATCCTTTCCCTGTCTTGTTATGACCATGTATTATGTCTTATCTTGATTGATAACTTGCCCTATTTTGCGAGCTGCTTCATTTTTAAGAGAGTATTTTTACCGTCTGTTAATTCATTTTCTCAAACGATTTTAATGCATTTGCATAACCAAGCATTCTTGTAGTCTCTCCTAAAGAACACTCTTCTTTCAAATTCCTTATAATTTTCGTTATGGCAAAGTTGAAAAGAAGTGATGACAGAGCATCACCTTGATTTAAACCAACTGTTATTTAAAAAAGGGTCCGACTTTCTGCCTTTATACGTTAACATATTGTGTCTTCTATACATACACTTGGTCATTGTGGACAAGTTCATATCTCGAAAAGCAGTTGTGTAGTCGAGACAAATGCAACTAGAAAACAAATGACTGTTTAACATCAATCACTTTGAAAGCATGAGATGAGTCGAGTTGCTTACTAGGATGGTGCCCAGTAGGGGGAAGGATAGTTCGCTTCAAATGTCGCACTCGTGCATATTGTCCATTAATTTTTATGAAATATACTTTTAACACACTTTTGTATTACATATTTTTATGAGTAACAACTGACCTGGCCGCATCGAGATACCAGCTAAGTGATTTTGTGTATCTATGTAGTATTGTTTAATTTGTATGTGCTGAAGAAGGCTCAATAGCCGCAACGCTCACGTCTTGTTTTTATTTGTTATATTGTGAAGCTTGCCAATATACTTTTTGTTCGGATTTATATCTTTTCTTGAAAGAAAATGTCAGAAATCTAAAACTGGTGCTTTTTTCAACCCCCCCCCCCCCTCCCGGTCTCTTCTCCCTGCTTGGGACCCATCAGGTTTGACTTTTACTAAAAAATCTGACCAAAGAACTTTGCTTTTGCTTTCTTTTCGGAATATTAGGAAATGTGACATTGGGATGGTACTTCTCTACAAAGTCACTGACATCTATCCACGGCTTTGTCTCGACAGAGGAAAACAAGGATAGCGTGCGGTGTTGTGACTAAATTTGACTCATACAAGTGCTAGCAAGCTGGTGATATTCCCAACAAAGACTGTAAACCAGGTATTTTCTGTCATCGTCTAAACGGGATGTATAGCAGAGCAATAAGAAGTAACACCACAGGGGAGCATGTACAGCAGGGGTCTACCAATCATCAGTAGAAGTAATCTCTCGTCGACAAATGTTTCGGCCCACGAGCTCCTATACATTTTCAGAGAGTGTGTCCACCTGAGTTCATGAAGCTCAGGGTGGGTTTTCCCTGCTGCACGTATTACCGGAGCAAATGTATACCGTGGTACCACTGTATTAAGCTGTCACGCCTGATTGAACACAACACAGGAGACGCAAGTCGGAGTTAAGTACATGTAAATGGCCCTTTTCCACGATTTAGGTTTATTGGGTATATAGGGATAGACCTACATTTTATAGACCAAACGACACTTTGTGGATGACGTAGTCAACATCACACCGGTCGCCTTTACTTCCAAGGATTGTACCCATACCTGGGTACCAAGATCATTTATTATAAAGTCCGGCTCCTCTCAGGAACCGAACTCAACTTCCGATCCGCAGGCCAGCGTCTAGCCGCTGGACCATGGCGGCTCCCTAAGTCGAAGAAGAGCAAGGCAAATAATGGCAATCATGAAATACTTAATAGTACAGCGTGAGAAGCTGATGAGAACATTCTCCAGAAGCTGTATACTAGACAAGCAGGTTGAACGTGCTCGATTTGTTTTCATAAATGGATGGTGCTTTGGACCAGTCTAACGGACAACACCACTAGAGGACTAGATAACACAGATGACCACACAACAATGAGACTGCAGTGTCCCAGGAAACTGACCGGGGAGGCTAACATGGGCAAAAAATGCCTGAAAAAGTCGGATATGTCGGCCACAAGGTGCAAACATCACAGCCATGTTGTAAACGGGCATAGTGCAGTTATGTCCCCAGGTGCATGAAGAAGATTATCCAGATTACTGTCTGATGTACTTTCAATCATTTCTGACAGATAATGATCAGTGATATGTTGTCAAATTGTCCAGCATCCTCTCTTGGCTCAACTTTCCCGCCAACACCATATATTCCAATTTGCTCTCATGATGTGACTAAAGAATCTAGACTGTCTCCAGATGTAGGTCAGCAGTTCTCTTTGTAAGTTAAAGTCTGCCAAGGCATCTATCTTGTTAACCTTTTAATGCTCACGGGGTTCTTATTCGTCTATAAAACCACATCTCTGCAGCTTCTACATAATTTCTCACTAATCAGCTGTCAATGATTCACTTCTGGATTGACTCTGTAAAGGTCTGAAAACAGAACAGGGGCCGCGTAAGCGCAGTCGATAAGAGGCTTGCTTTCAAATCCAGCTGCGACTCGCTGCAGCCCACGGTCGGTGTTCGAAACCGGGCGGTTCCTGGGGTTCACCCAGCCTCTAGGAAATGGGTACCAGAGTTGACACTCTGGGGTAAATGGAGGAACGTCGCTGTAGCTAGAGTTACGTGCAGACGGCGACACAGGTGGACAATTCTTAGCTGTCCGTAATGGTGGCAGAGCACTTATGGTTTATAACTGTGTGCAATAACGCTGGTTCACATCTCCCGACTTTACCTTTAGGTCTGAAAACTCTTCCTTACCTCAGCTGACACAGATAAATTGCACAGAAAATATATTTAGTAAAATGTTGCCTTTGCGTGAGATTATTTGCATTCAACGTCTTGAATACATCGTCAATATGCTGATAACATGGAACCTAAATATATATTGATTTGCTGCAGACTTGTCCCATTTACTTATATGTTGCTGTTTGGAAGTCCAATATGACGGACAGACAAACTGACTTCAGTTGTGGCAAGTTATTGGCTTTTGACTATGGTTAGCCGTTGTATCTCCCCCATATTTGGACTAAAAGTATACAGTACTTAGCAACTGAATTTAATGAATGATGCGACAATGTGAGCTGTGGATTTCATTTGGAGTGCATTTTAACTGTGTCCAACGTGGTTTATGTTGTGAACTCTGATTCTTCCAGGTTGGGTTCTGGGGCGCATTGATGGGGAGGGGAATAGATCCACCACTCCCAAACTATCACGTCATGAAAGTTGACTAATTAGGGGTGTATCCTTCATACTGAAACACGGGACCTCCAGCACTCTTGGCGGACGCATGCCCCGAGACCACGCACCCCCTTTGTTTGACTGGTGGCTCACTTTCACATGGCAGTCAGCTGTGAACTTGATGCTATACCAGGAACTACATGTAGCCAGCCGCAGGTATCATTCTGAGGTGCACCACAGAACCCTTTACAAGGGTGAAGTTTTGCTTGATGTCCCTTCTACAATACTGCACTTGTTGAAATTGCAAGACTGTACACATGCATACATTCTGTGTGACTCAATACTCATGGTGAAGAAAATATGACTAGAGCACAAGGCACGGATAAAATACATGGACAAAATATTGGACACATTGCGGCTGTTCCGAGACCCTATCCTCTTGAAGTAAAAATGCCCCTTAACAACCATGTTGTAAAAGGCGACTAGTTATGAGTTAGAAATGAACATATATCACAGCCTACCTGTAATCCAACATACCAACTATCCTTTTAGTGGTGAAAGCAGAAAAAGAAGATACCTGGCATCACAAGCCATAGTCTTATGGATCTAACGCACAAAATGTTCAAGATGTAGATAGCAATGAATAGAGGATAAGAGCAGAACTAATGCACTCATGGCATTCGAGCAGCAGAAGATGATGTACAGGAGTTAAAAGTCTTGGTTTTCTGAATATTTGTCTTATGCTTCTCTGATGGCTTTAGCGATGAATTTGTTCTTTTTGTAGGATTCAGTTAGGTTGTCTATCCATCTGTTTCTTTCACCTTCCACCCAGATGTTCTCATATAGATGAGATAGTCTCCCCCCCAATATATAAACATGAACAGAGTGAAGCCTTAAATAGAATACATTCCCAGAGGCAAACTGTAAATGTAATGTGCTGACACCACTCCATGCCATCTGTCAAAAATTTTCTTACACTGCCTTCCTCTGTCTCTCTTTCTACAGATCTTTCCAGATGTCCACAACATGCTCCATCTTCTCCTAACTTGACCAACAAATGATGACTGTCTCTTTCTGACGTTTGTGATAAGCTGTCTTTGAGAACTCGCTTCTTTCAAAACATCTGGGTTGCCTTCCTTAACTGTCCAAGGAATTCTAAGGATTCTTCTGTAAAATCACATCTCTCAAGATATTGTTCAGCTTGTTTATTACCTGTCCAGGCTTCACAGCTGTATATTAAAACTGGCTCTATATAGCATAGGAGACATCTTTTCCTAACCTCCACCCCACCTATAGTGGTGCAAATATGGCTGTTTCTGAGCCACACATGGACAGTTCTGAGCAAGGCAGTCCCAGATATTTAAAACCAGAAACCACTACCAGTGTTTCAACCCATTATCTGTCCCTGGAAGCACCAGAACTAGCTATCATGTGTACAAAATCTATACAAAAACAAAACACAGAACCGAAAAATTATTAACTGAAATTTATTTATTTCCGTACTCTACTTCTTTTGGCTGTTTTGCCTTTAAATCCACCTTTCTTGTTTGCTTTTGCCTTGTTTTCTGACCGTTTCTGAGCTCTGACATCTTTTTTCATTCGGCCATCCACAACCTTGAAGTGGCCCTTGACACCTGCTGGTCGACGAACTTTCTTTCCTGCACCTTTCTTGGCGACGACATAGGTGATGCTTTCTTTTGTCTTCTTGAGCAGGCCAGCTTTTTTATACACCCTGAAATAGAAATTTGCTCATTAGATGAGTAATGTCATTACTAAGTGAATTACAAACGCACCTACAAATATGACTCATTATATCAGGTGGATGAACCCTTCTTGTTTTGTTCGCTTGAAATAGATTATCTGTAACTGCACTGTTGTCTTTATTATGAACTTCACTGTCTTTTGTAACTCACTCAGCAACCTTTAAAGTTTTGCCTCCACCAGAGCTTCTCTTGGCCAGAAGTTTTGCCTTTATATGTTGTATTTGGGACAGTCTGAGGGGGGGGGGGGGGCATCACATGTTGTCTCAGGTGCCAATCCACATGTGCATATGGCTTCCCCCCCCCCTAAAATTTTGTGTATCTGTGGCTGTGAAGCCGACAGTGCCCTGTTTTAAGGCATAGAAAAATGACTTGCTCTGGTCTGTCCATTATATAGTAATCATCTTGTGCCGGATTTGGTGGCTTTCTGATTGATTTGATTCTCTTCTTGTGTTGATAAGAGACAGGTACATTGGGTTGTTCTTTATTTACACCTTCCTGGGCTAATTTATCAGCTCTCTTGTTTCAAGGAACTCCACAGAGGAATGGTATCTAAAAAGCACACTTATTCTGAGAAGCTGACAATTTTCTGAAAGAAAAGTCATTTAGGAAGGAAATGGGCACCTCAATTTATTTCTTCATCATTTGTCTAAGTGACATAAATGTGTAGTGCTTGTTTACATCATAGCTGGGATATCTGCACCTTTTGGCAGACACATTCAACTGTTGTTATTTAGGTTAGCCCCCATGGTTAGTTTCAAGGAACATTTGTAGCCTCATTTGTGTGGCGACTTTGTCATGCTCTGATCCAGTTTGTTGTCCCAAGAGGACCCGGCCAGGGCAGCCGTGAACAGATTGGTTGACCATCAAGGGAAGATAGGAGCAGAACATGGGTATTTCCCACCACCTAAGCGGCTTTCATAAAGGCAGAGCTGACACATGGGCTCTGGTACTCAGCTTGCCTAAGAAATTGTTACATCCATATATACTCAGTTAAAACTCATTACAGGTGTAGGTCCTTTAAGGATCCACAGGAAAGTCTGCAGACCTCAGACTTCAATTCCCTGCACAAATGGACATCTCACTTTCTCAGACTTTTTCTTTCTTTGCTTAAAGGCTGCATAAGGCATGACTTCTCTGTATGATCACTACATTTCAGAGTGTCGCCACTGGTGGTAGTGGGATGTTTGAACCTGTGTGTCATAGTTATACAGTGATTTTCAGCAGGGACATCTGAAACTTAGCTGTCATACAGTAGGACACTCAAGGAACGGACATTAAGACCTAAGTAGCCATAAAGTAGGAGTCTCGGTTGACAGACATTTGTGTTAGTCATTTAGTAGGTTACTCGGCTAGCAGACTTCACTTATGTTCCAAATGAGTTTTCAATGAACATTATCATCCATGCACTAGGAGGTGGGCCAATTATTGCCAGGAGTATTGGGCACTGTATCTCCAGGACTACCAAATCTCAGATCCCTGCCAGTTTGGTTCAGGCTGACATAGGCTATTTTCTATGGTGCATGATGAAGAAGTGTGGCAGGAGTCTTGCATAAGGATTCATAAACCAGCACAGAGCTTGCTGGTGCCCGAGGTGAGGTACAGAGCATCTGCCTATACACAGCACAGCAGCCTTAACTTTGCCTCTGGTCTGTGATTGAACTCACATTATCATACCTTCATTCTGACTATGAAAGTCTTAACATTTCACAGGTACAGCACAGAATACACAATGGGACGGATGACTTTACCATTTCAACACAATAAAATGTACAACAAATTGAGCATACAAAACTAGCACCAGCTAATGTAAATATCACTAACATTGACAAACAATGCCAGACAGTTTCTCTTCTAGGTTATCAATTCTACTGTCCGGTAAATCTATAGCCGAACCTCGTCAAAGGAAATGAAAACTATGAAAATGTGAGCTCATGCTAAAGGAAAAGTGTCCTAGCCTGGGACTAACAATAATAATACATCCCTGTTAGGACCACAGTTGTTTCCAATTGAACAGTGTGTTAGCGAGCAACTTCATGCTCACAAGGTTTTACTGTATAAGAACATCTCTGCCACTGCAGTTCACAGCCTGCGTCCTCAATACACACAAAGAATGAACACATAAGCTGCTCAATTTTGAGAAACATACTCTAAACTTGACCTTCACCCGAGGGATAGTTTGAAATATCAAAGCTATTGGGCTGTAAGATTAACTGGACAACATTAATTTCTCTTGTGGCTTCACTGGCAGCAAAAAGTGAAAGTTTGATATGATTTCAGTTTCCAACAAAGCAATACATGATAGTACTATCACAATGAAAAAAAAACCTCTTGATCACTGGTTTCCTGTGACAGGTCACCCATTCTATGACTTAGATGACCAAACTAACATCAACAGTGGTTGTAGTAGTGCTGTGAATTTTCTTATTCAGAATAATCAGAATGTCTTTGCAGTGGAACCCACAAGGTCAAAGGAAAAAAAGGTAGACCATAAGGAAGATAAAAATGATGGGGAGAATACAGGATGAGCTAATGTGACAATAAAGGACAGGATGACCTGCCAGGATTTTGTTTATGGCACAAGCTTTATAAAAGGAGGAAAGACAGAAGAAGAAGAATGTACACTTCACTACCAGCTGGCTATCAGCAGAAAAATGGAGCCCAGTGTCTTGTGCCTGGCATCACAAAAACCAGCACAATCTGACTCCACTACACACAATTCCTATACTGATAAATCAAAAATGGTGAAAATATGGGGGGTGACTGCAGTCAAGCTTATACAAGGAATTCCAGAGAAATTTAATATCAAATTTCTCTGGAATTCCTTGATGAATCAAAGCAGGAGTGAAGCAAATAACACTGGTTATAAGACAAGCACAGATCAGTCAAACACACCAACAGAGATTAAACATGGAAAAAAAAAACTGTACATACTGCTTGATCTGTTGCCATTTCTCTGTCTCAGAAATATCAACAGTATCTGATATAGCATTGGCTTTCTTTCTGGCATTCTCTTGTCGTTTCAGCATCTGCAAACAAATCAGTCACCAGGTTTTAAATGAAGAGAAAACTAATTCATAGAAACTTTTTTTTTTGTCTATAGAATTCTTGACAAACAGTATTCAAACACCAAAATACAGTAACTAAACAAATGTGTAGTTGTATAGTATACTAGCTGTACCCGGCCAAGCGTTGCTGTGGCTTAGTTTAGCTAAATGGAAAAGAAAGAAAATATAAATTGTCTGCGCAAATATATAGTTTTTGATGCCCCGCCCCAAATCCACTAACGACTCTCTCCCCCATCCGAGGTTCTTGGAAAAGAATTTTTATTTTTATTTTTAGGACTTTAAACAAATAGTTATTTGGTTATCACATGCTAAAACTGTTTGTATTTGTTAAAGAGATGGAAGTAAAGCTTACTACTGTACTGTAAATAACAAAGTAGGGCTGTACAGAATAGTGATTTTCACTATTCGGCCGAATACTAATAACGGGACCAACTATTCGGCCAAATACGAATAGTGTATGAAATATGTCTTTAAAAAAAAAACACACACACATTCATAATGTCAAACGTACGCTGAACTTTTACTTCACATAAAGTAGCACAGAATAGACATCTTCTTCTTTAACATTCTGAGCCCTTGAGGTTTACTGCTGTAGATATCACTCGTCTAGATTCATCTCTCTGGCTGGCCTTCTCTTCACAAAGCCCCTAGCAGTAGAGCAGAAACTGTCTCTACCAGCAGGTGACATCTGCACTAACTTCAGAGCTGAGGCAACTGCCCTCCTTTTTGCAGTCCAACATCTCATCACTCAAGAATACAGAGGGCACAAAATTGTTATACTTAGTGACTCATTGTCTGTTCTCAAAGCACTATCAAGCAGAAAACAAGACAAACTAATTGCAGATCTAAGGACCAACATCGGCTTACTCTCCAAGGAAGCAGAACTGGTCTTGCAGTCGATACCAGCCCACTGTGGTATTCAAGGAAATGAGAGAGCAAATGAGTTGGCAAAAGCTGGGAGTAATCTTCCACAACCTCATCCACCACACAGCTACAAGGAAACCAGAACAACGCTAAAGCAGTCTTTTAAGCGGGAGTGGAGAAAGCAGAATGGAGATTACAGATCAGAGAGTGACAGCATAAACAAACTCAACAGGAAAGAACAAACATCAATTTTTAGACTTCGAAGAGGACACTGTGGTCTTCGAGCACACCTGTACAGGATAGGCATAAAAGAATCAGCTGCCTGTGATTGTGGAGCAGAAAGACAGACCCCTGAGCACATACTGCAGTACTGCCCTAACCTCTCCCAGCAAAGACTGGATCTGGCCCAAGGGAGCCGATTTGCAAGAGAAGCTATGGGGGAACCGGTGGCGACCTTAAACGCACAATCCTATTTGTGACCCAGACGGGACTCAATGTTTAGCATGACTGATGTCGAACGCAGAAGAAGAATCTCTCGATCTTCTTTTTTGTCTGCCTCGTGGTCTACGCTCATTCCTCTCTCAGGTGTATAAAGTTTTACTTCTCTGTCTTCTGACATTGTTTTAATATGCCCCAACCATTTTAGTCTATTAGCTCTCATGATGCCAGGGATCAGTGGTGATTTAAACAGATTATGTGTTACGTTGTTGCTTCTCACTCTCCGTTCCCCACTGTTAGCATCTTTTATGAGTTCAAAGATTTGTCGTAAGACTGTATTTGAAAACCTGTTGTAACAAGGCCTCATCTTTTACATTTCTGCTTCAAGTTTCAGAACAATTTAAAACGACTGGTCTTATCAACGTTTTATATATTTTGATCTTGGTGTTGCGGGACAGACACTTTGACTTTAGCAGATGTTGAAGGGCATAGTATACTTTATTTCTCTCAGTTATCAGTTTCTGTCCTCACCCCCCCCCCCCTGCCCCCCCCCCCCAAAAAAAAAAATCCACTGACTACTTTACTCGCCCTCACCAATGGGTGTAGGCAGGTGGTCTTTGAGCCTGAGTATTAAGGGCTGCACGACTAGTGTTGTCGCTACGACTGTGCAAGTGAGGATTTTATTTTGCTGGCAAGTAAAAAAATAAATAAATCACCAGCCATACCGAGGATTCAAACCCGAATATCCCGCACTGGAGCCAAGCGTTCTGTTTGGCCAGCTGCTCCTCCGTGAGAAGCAACAACAAAAAGATTCAATAAGTTAAAACCCTAATCTGAGGGATGTGTCCAGAAAACTGCGCATGCATGAACATGGCTTTAATGAAATGTCAGTGTAAAAATAAAAATATTAGCATCACAAGTTGTTTTCAAAAAGATATCGCCGCCTATATAAAACTATGACAGTTAGCACCCCCACTCCAAAACAAATATATCCTGTAAATTTCAGCTAAATCGGTTCAGTAGTTTCTGAGTCTATACGTCACAAACAAACACTGTTTATATATAGATGGCAGGGTTATTCAAATGGGCTCATGGGCCAAATATGGCCCACAGTGGCCTAGCAAGTGAGCCACGGATGATTGCCAGTTGTATGGTATCAACGATCTTGCTGTGCTGAGGCTCAAGCCTCTGGCCCGTGATATTCCCCATTTTCAAAATGTTCGAAGCTGAATAGCCCTGGTATATGGTATCGTGAACAGCTAAAAGTAAGTTTATTTCACTTGACAATACAGGCAACATAAGCAGAAAACCATAAAATGAAACCCCCAAAAATACCTTTCGCTTCTTTCTAGCTTTGGCTTCAGCAACTTTCTTGATAGGCTGTGCATCAATGGCTTTCATCTTGAGTTTGTACTCCTCCATTTCTTCCTGGAAATGATAAGAGTTAACCAATTCCACAATATGGCTCAACAAAATAACTCTATAATATAGATTTAAAAGAGTATGATTAAAAAAAAATTTTTTAATCTTTCCAAAAGTTATCTATAACGTTAGTAGTGCCTCCGAAGCAGCCTATAACCTCAGTAGTGCCCCCGATGCAGTCTATAGGTTCAGTGGTGCCCCCGATGCAGCCTATAGGTTCAGTGGTGCCCCCGATGCAGTCTAAAGGTTCAGTGGTGCCCCTGATGCAGTCTATAGGTTCTGTGGTGCCCCCGATGCAGTCTATAGGTTCAGTGGTGCCCCTGATGCAGTCTATAGGTTCAGTGGTGCGCTCACATGCAGAACATCAGTGGTTAAACACACCCCCCCCCCCCCCCCATCATAGTGCCTCAATCCAAATCCACAACCTTCATAGTGTGGGACAAAAAGACTGAAACCACTCTGTCACATGGAACATGGACCAACATAACATCTATGAAACAGCAGCATTTTGCTTATCAATTAGATGACTGTCTATGATTCACTTCTGAGTGGATTTACACAGCTCTGAAGTTATCCATTTTCAGTCAAGCATTTTTTCAACCTTTTCTATCCGAAGGACTTATAGCCTCAAACAATTATCGCTTGGGCCTACAACAGTTCAGATAATACCGTGATTGGGAAAAAAAAAAGATGTAACAACTCAAACAGATCTTTCCAGTGGTCACCAAATGTTCTATTTTCCCTCTTCTCATAACATGGCTGAAAAATGATGACTGTCTCCTTCTGATGTCTGTGATAAGTTGTCTTCGGTTCCTGCCTTTTTCAAAACCCCTTGGTTGCTCTTTTTTGGCTGTAAAAGGTATTTTAAGAATTCTTCTGTAAAACCACATCTCTGAGGCCTCAAGAAACTGGCCTGTCTACCGATTGTCCAGGACTCACAGCCATAAACTAAAAACTGGATGCATGAAGCAAGAATTCTTTTTCTAATCTAACCTTCAATGACAGAGATTTATTGCATAAGATAATTTTATTTTTAAAAAATGTGCCTGTCCTATACTGTTTCTTATCTCAGTAATGCAACTTCCATCTGATGTTATCCATGTGCCCAGATACTTGAATTGCTGTACTTGTCCCATAATAACACCAATTTGTTTCTTTGATACCACCATTACTTCTGTCTTCCCATTATTCAAACTGAGGCCCATTCTTCCACTTTCTAACACCACAATGTCTATTATTTCCTGTAGTTCTTTCTGACTTGTTGCTATCAAGACTGTCATCAGCATGACGTAAATTGTTTATATTACACCCACCAACCACAATTCCGGACACATCAATTAAAGATCTTATTATATATTCGCTGTACAGTGAAAATAAATTATAACTCATTATTACAGCCTCAAAAAAAAAAAAAACGATAACAAAAAGTAAGAGAGTCTCGACAAACGCATAATTTGCTTGATACTGAGTTAAGAGCATCCATTCTCACCACAATTAACAAAGACCTGCATACAATCTTTTTTTTTTGGTTTGTTTGTTGTTGTTGCCAGAGCCATATTATAATTAACATCTTTACCACACCCTCTACCTGCTGTTATAAGGGTACTTAATCTTTTTTCAGACTTCTGCGATTTGGAGGACAGTTGTAATTCAGTCTTTGTGTGGGTTTCAGAAGCCCCATTGTTGGGGAACTCACAAAAAAGACCTACTGCATCCCCAACCAGCGTGCCGTAAGAGTCGACGAATTAATGATGTTCCCTTCGAAGTCAGAGTGCATTTACCTGACAGGTGAGGAATCAACAGTCTGCATGAAAGACAGGTGTGGATGAATAACTAGAATTTTCTGCCGGAGTTAACAGTTGGTCAAGGCGAAGAAAAAGGGGTAATTCGTTAACATAACAAAACAAAAACAACAAAGTACAAAATAAACAGCAGAAAAGCCAACCTTTGTCACAGGTCGCTGTACCCTCATATGTCTTTTCTCATCACTTGCAAACCACTCTGGCAGATGGTCATCATCAAACATGTATCTGAAACAGCCAACATGTACTCTGCCACAATTATGTCACTGGAACTTGACTACAGTAAAACAACAAATACAAAACAACACACGGCACTGCCCCGACTGGGGCAGAAACAATAATCATTTTCCTGTTTTCTGATAAATTTGATGAAAGTTTGTGTTGCTTATACTATTTTTTTCTGCCAAGGCTCAACATATATCTGAAAGTCCTTCTCTACCTCAGATTTCGATACACAACACTAACTTCTTTATTCCACCGCTACGGCTAACATGCCCCATTAATATCACTTTTCTTCAATGTTCTGAGGATGATTTTTTTCTTTGTTCATCATATCATCAATGCTCCTCCCAGAAGAAAGAACATTTTGATTGCCCAGTTTCTACACCCAATGTCTAGCATTCACACACACATGAACTCATTTGCTGTCTGACACTACTGACAAACTTCATGTATTCGCTGCAAAAAGCTGGAAGCAATAAACATTTTCCCAACATAACTAGAAACGTGCTTATAATTTGGTAAACTGTAGCTGAGTTGAGATGAGTCTCCGGTAAAACAATGAAAATAAATATACGTGGAAAACTTCTTTTTAATCTACATATACTTAAATTTCTAGGATGAATAGTTTAAAGACATGGTGCCACTCAACCAGACTGAGCAGATATTACAATGTTAATTTTGTGCTACAAAATAAGTTCAATGATTTTGTGCTCATTTTCATTAAATCCTCAGGATTTTCCCCAGCCTTGAGAGAAAAAGTCGCAGATCCTGGTTTCAAAGTTGGCTCAAGGGCCCTGATTTAAAAAACATGGTTTTTCAAGAAAATAGCCAAAACTTAGCCGCTGAGTCAGAAATGAAATGATACTATTTGACAGACTGTAACGAGTCATTTTCTAAAAGTAGTGTCTCATTTTTATAAACTATGCTGAATGGGTGGTCTTAAGAATAATGTATGAGTAAATAGACTGAGTGTCAAGATAAACTTGAACTTTACTAGGCAAGCGTGGATTTTGCATGGGTGGCAACAAAAATCTGAGTTAATTTAGTCTTGTTTCGATCTGGTCTCATTGGAGGTTGTAGTGCAGGGCTATTCAAATGGCAGCCCGCAGGCCAAATCTGGCCCACGGAGACCTAGCTATTGGCCCGCTGATTATTGTCAGTTGTATTTTATTAATGATCTTTCTATTCTTAGGCTCAGACTTCTTGCTTGTGATGTTCCCAATTGTACAATTTTGGCCCGTGAGTAAACTTAGTTGAACAGCCCTGTTGTAGTGTGTGGAGTGAATGAATCCTGAATTCAGAGCATGATCGCTTCAACTTCCTTCTTCTTCTTCTCTTCCACCTTTTACCTCATCGAAGTGTCGGGGGGAGATGTAATGTTCCTTGATGAGCTCTGTCAAGAGCACTATTAAAACTGATGTTCATTTCTGTAAGGCTGTTCTTAATGCCATCACTCCATCTTTTCCGGGGTCTTCCACTGGCTTTATACCCGTTGTAAAGTTTTAGTTTGGCTCCCTGTGGTGGATAGTACCAGGGCATTCTTGTCAGGTGTCTAAACCACTTCATTTGTTGTTTTTTGATGACCTGTAAGACTGGCTTTATTCTTATATTATATAGGAGCCCAATGAAAGTAATTGCACAGACTATATGGGAACAAAACAAGTGCAATCCGGAGGGTTCAGGCAGGTTCAGTGCGAAGACAATGGCTTGAATCATTACAGAAGTCCACTGTTCGTGGAGTCACCTTTATTTTTGTTCCGGGACACGCAGGCGTCGATGGAAATGAAAGAGCTGACAGGTTGGCTGGATCCGCTATCACTACCGACGGTCAGCCTATGGATCATGCTGATATTATCAATGCCCTCAGAGAAATGGGAAGAATAGAGGACTTTGGTGGCAGTGAATCCACATCACTCGCCAGAATGGCAGACTTGGGAATTAAGATGGGCACAGCAAAAAACGAGACGCACACCAGCTACGCCAGAAGACTTGTTAATCAACATAGAACTGGTACTATTAGCCATCGGACGTTGGGGTTCATACTGAGGGGAGGATCTGAGCACCTATGGACATGTCCGGAGTGCAATGAGGATAACCCAACTAACTAACTAACTAACTAACTAAAACAAGTGCACCAAATTACTGGGAAGCAGAAGATCAAACGGTTTTATTTTCTCATGAGAATGTAACCACAACTACCAACACAGGCGGCACTTATGGGAAAGATGGACTGATGACATTAAAGACATCCTACACTGACACAGAATGATAGTGGCCAGGGCCACCCACTGAGCACTGGACCACAAACTGTTACTCCTTACACTCCTTAATGGCAAAAGTGGAAGGTGATGATGATGATGAAAACAAATGAAGAGAATTTTCTATTAGCAAGCAGCTCAAGATAAATGAAAAAGAAACTAGTAATCCCTGCATGTTCCTGTGTGGGTTCTGAGACTCCATTTTGGAGAACAAAGAATAGACCCCCCCCCCCCTCCCCTTTACAAGCATATCGTAGGAAATGACTAACTGGGGGTGTTTCCCCCAAACTAGAGCATATCCGCCTGACAAGCAACAGTCTACATACAAATAAACCAGATCTGTAAAATGGATAAGTAGGCAAAACTCAAGTTCTTGAAGTTTAGCAAACAGCCAGAACTTGTCGCACTAGAATATGCTGGTGTTCTACCGTAGCCTGACCTATAAGTTTCAACACTAACTCCGAGCGAGGCCAGCAAGTTCTATCTGTACAGACAGCAACAAATGAACAGACCTCCACAGCAACTCACACCATCTGACATCCACAACTAACATGCAATACTTACCGATGATAAGCTGAATCTACAATTTCTCTCTTTCTTTTCCGGGACTGGACAATAGCTGCTCCAATAGCCAAGCCCTCAGAATCCAGTTTGAGATTGGGGTCAAGAGACACCTTGGGCACAATTTCAATGCCGTCTATTTGTGATTTCCGATTAGAAGCTTTCCTAACTGTCTTTTTATTTGTTTGTAATGCTTCTGTGAAGTCATAAGCATCGTCATCATCATCTTCACTACTATCATCATCATCATCATCATGACTGTCTTCCACGTCATACCCACCATCACTATCATCCTCAGTTGCCTGTGTTTCTGGTTTGGCTTCCTCTTTCTTTTTAGTTTTAACTGTTGCTGTCTCGTCAGGCTGTGGAACCATTTGTGCAAGCTCAGCATCATCAATGTCATCACCCAAATCTGCAAATGCAGCCTGCAATAGATTTAAAGAACCATGCAATAAACAAGTCTAGAAAATGCTTAACATACCCACACACACAAAAATTATTGAAAAAAAAAATGTAAATCAAGATGACATGTATAATTTTTTCTAGACTCAATGTTTGATCTTTGCCTGCTACAATTTGGTCTTTAATACACATATACTTTTTTAAAGTTTATACTCAATAAAACAATAGCTCTGGACAGTCAATATATCACTGGCTGACCTCACAAAAACAAAGTACTTCATTTATGTGTATGTGTGTGTATATATACACACACATATATACATAAAAACACTAATTTGCTCTTTCAAACTTAAACTATGGAGATTAATTTAGAATATATAAAACAGCCACAAAATCTTCTAAAACATCCATAAAGGAATACAAATAGCTAAAAGAATAAACAAATTGCCCTAAAGGGAGTAATAAAAAAAAGAGCATCTAATTAAGTGTAAGTAAAACACAAATGTGTGTGTATGGGTGGGAGGGAGGAAGGGTGGGTGGGGGGGGGGGGGGGGGGGAATTGCACACCCATTCAGCAAGTATGATTTACAGGTCATGGAAAAACACATCTTGCAGCTAGCCATGCTCTCATGACATTTGGAGACTTTTAATCTTTCTAATCATGAGTAAAACTAGTGTGCAATTTTGTTGTACTACCTTTTTAAACCAGGCAGACTGTTTGTCTTTCCTGATCCGTGTGGTTTCTCCAAGATCGACAATAAGCGGGTTAGTATTTTCTGTACTGTCCTCTTCCTGGCTCTCGTCCCTAAGAGACAATTTACATGCTCAAGTCAAATAAATATAACAAATACATAAATAAATAAATGCCAAGTTAAAGACAGTAACACTCAAGTGAAGACAAGAAACAACATATTTACACTACAAACAGGCCACATGGAAGACAGATGCTACACTGGTCTTGGTCAGTGCTGTTATTTCTTCAGGCTCCCAAATTGCTAATTACTATATTTGTCCTTGTATAAGAGGTTAGTTGCGTATCCTTTACAGGGCCAACTATAACAGCCCCTGGCTGTTGTGTGGTTTTTTTAAGGCAAATTTACGTCCAGTAGTTTGCAATTGCTTTATGGACGGTCGGCTTTCTTGATACCACTGTCGAAACCATGGTAAGACACATAGCACGCAGCTGGGATTGAACCCGGCATCCCGGCATTTTATAAGTGTTTAAGAAACACCTCAAAAACTTAAAGAAATTTTCCATGAAAGATAAATAAAAATTTAAACCCTGCACCCATTTCAACACATCAGCCTCTAATTCCAACCATTTTGCACTTTCCCCCAGCTGTGCACCCTTTCCTTTGTTCATTTTGCAATTTTCCCAAGCTGTGCAAGCTTTCCTTTGTCAATTTTGCACTTTTCCCCAAGGTGTGCATGCTTTCCTTTGCTCATTTTGCACTTTTCTCCAAGCTGTGCATGCTTTCCTTTGTTTATTTTGCACTTACCCAAGCTGACCACGCTTTCCTTTGTTCATTTTGCAGTTTTCCCCAAGCTGTGCACGCTTTCCTTTGTTCATTTTGCACAAAAAATCCTGCAGAGACTGCCAAAGGTTTTTGATTTTTTTAATCCACTGAGGTCCGAAACGACGTTCTTGCCGACTTGTTGCCTTGCTCTGCAATTTTTTAATCACCTGGGGTTTGAAACTTGCAGTGAATTAAGGAATGCAGAAGCCTATTCTAAGAACAAAAAAGTGTGTCTTATACAGACAAATACGACAAGGTGTGCAGTTATTCATTTAGGATGTTTAAGTTGCTTTTGTTGTAACACCATTTGTATCAGTAGCCTTTTTAGTGAATGTGTGTCCCTTGAAACATATCCGACATGTTTAATCATTAATGTTGCTGAGGACTTTTCATGCAACATACTTAAGCAAACCCTGTGGCTGAGTCTGTCTTCCTGCACCAACATGACTGACAGGTAATGAGACAGAAAGCTGTACATGTATCATTTTCAACCCACCACTGTGGCACAGACTAGTAAGAAGCAGAAAAAGTATGCCATTACAAGAAGGCTATTCAACCGGCAGTCCGCAGAGGCCTGATAACTGTCCCACAAGCCATTGTATTAAAAATCTTTCTATGCCGCGTCGCTGGCCCGTGATGAGCTGAATATAAATAGCCCTTCTATACAAGTCTCCGAGGTCTGCTACATGCGAGTTTTGTGTACAAACCCATTTTACAGATCTGGCTGATTTTTAATGCTAACTGTCAGTTCCTCACTTCTCAGCAGATGCACTCCAGCTCTGAAGGAAACATCCCTGTTAGTCAACTCTTATAACGAAATGCTTACTTAGGGCCAGTGGGTCTATTGTTCCTCACAATGGGGTCCAGAACACCTATGAGGACTACAGTGTATTGATCTGCATGTTAATGAAACATTTGTTTAAACAGCATATGATGATCTGACACTCAACATGTAGAGACAGCTCAAGTTCCACGCCAGCACAGACCAACTTCAGAGTTTATTTGTCTGACCTCGACAATGTCAGAGAGCAAACAACACGGTGACAGAGATGTACATTTTTATGTTATTCTTAGAGTGATCTCATTAATCTGTGTTCAGTAGTAAAAAAAACATTGGACATTCTGTGAAACTTACTCATCTTTCTCGTCTGCGTCAGTGTCATCCTTTTCCTCAAACATTGGTTCTTCTTCCATCTCCTCTTCATCCTCAGAACTATCACCTGCTTGTACTCCCATGTATTTTTTTTCGTCTTTATCAAAATATTCTCGTGGCCGGCGTTTCTGTTTGCCTTCATCATCAGAGTCTTCAAATATGTCATCTTTATCCATGTGGCTTAAATCTCCTTTCTCAACATCCGATAGTTGCTAGAGTTTGAAAAGAAAAACCAGAAAGTCAGGACATACTCTGTTAAAATAAAACAAGCACACAAAAATAATCTATCTAGTAATGCGAGCAGTGGAAAATGACTGGAAGCATAACGGCAATTAGCTTCTATTTACTAGGGAGCCATGGTACAGCAGTTGCTAGATGCTTGATTGTGGGCCCAAAAGTTCCTAGGTTCAAATCTGTACTGGGGCAGATTTTTATAGTTGACCTAAAATTAAAATCCCCCCCCCCCCCCCCCCCCCCCCCCCCCCCCCCCCCCCCCACCACATATAAAAATGGTAAATAAAAATCAAACATACGATGATGAAATACAGCATATGACACCGAGGAAGAAGTCAGCGTAAACAAGCCTTGCCACTGACAGTGTGAGATATAGAAAAGGAACAAAGAATAAAGAACAAAAGCATAAAACACAAGAAAAAATGTTTACAAACAAAAACAGGGAATTCACTGTGCAAGGTTTTATCCTATATGGCCAGATCTCTTTTTGTAGAGGTGCTGGTCGTCTGTAGGAGTGTTGTACAACTGTAACGACAACCCGATCTCACACACTTTACAGTTCCAGCAACATCCCCGATGTCACATACTTCACAGCTCCAGCAACATCCCGATGTCACATACTTCACAGCTCCAGCAACATCCCAATGTTACACACTTCAGTGCCAACGACATCCCGATGTCACATACTTCACAGCTCCAGCAACATCCCGATGTCACATACTTCACAGCTCCAGCAACATCCCGATGTCACATACTTCACAGCTCCAGCAACATCCCAATGTCACACACTTCAGTGCCAGCGACATCCCGATGTCACATACTTCACAGCTCCAGCAACATCCCGATGTCACATACTTCACAGCTCCAGCAACATCCCGATGTCACATACTTCACAGCTCCAGCAACATCCCAATGTCACACACTTCAGTGCCAGCGACATCCCGATGTCACATACTTCACAGCTCCAGCAACATCCCGATGTCACATACTTCACAGTTCCAGCAACATTTCGATGTATCTCTAAAACTCTTGCACTAGCAGCTGAAGGAGGCAACAAGAAACGGAACCCATAACCTTTAGAGCATGAGTCAAATAGCTTAACCACCTCATAGAAGAGACTCACCAATAGGAAATAAAATTACTTTTATGTTTATTACACTTTACAAAGAGACAAATTAAATGGTTTGGCCATGTAACAAGATTAGCAGCAGACAGGGCACAACCCAACAGAGAGCAATGTTATACAGATACAGCAGTAACAGACCCAGAGGTCGACCAGGCAGATTATGGACCACAGAAATATCAGAGACACTGAAAAGTACTATATACGAAGCGAACAAAAGGGCCCGTTATAGAGATTTCTTCCTCCCCTGACGCTGTGAGGCATACTAGTGGTAGAGAAAAGAAGAACAAGAAAGATACGTTCATTTTCCTGGGTAATATTTTATTATCATTATGACAATAATAAAAGTATATTCATAAATTATACAAATTGTTAATATAAAAAAATTAAAAAAACAATAACCACCAACTTTTTCAAGTTCTGAAAGTAAAAGAACTTACCTTTCTATTTCTAATCTTGGTGATATCAAACATATTAACATCATCTTGAATGTCTGGCTGGTCACCTGGGATTGACATCTGCATGTCGATTCTCATCTTTTGCTTCATCTGAGCTTTCCTAACTTTCTTCTTAGCCCTGAAATATAAGGAAATGTGAGAATCTGGTGGCATGTTATCCAACACTAATTTACAGAAATTAATTTTATATTTATGATTTTCAGAATTTGTTTGCACCATGCACATCAACTTGCTAATGTAGTTTACCAAATCTACATGCACCGTATTACATTACAGCAATACTCCGCCACTTTACAATCTGCCAATGTTTTTATTTTGGAAGGGGTTCGAACACACGGCTCTAATTCTGGACACCAACATTTAAATGGGTTTTTTTTTCAAACAAGAGACAAAGAAATCGCTAACCTGCAATAGCTCATGTTGACCGTACTAGACATGCAGATCTAAATCCTCAGGCTAAAAACTATATCACGCCCCCCCCCCCTCTCCACAGAACACAAAAAAGTATCGAATGCAGTAAAAATGTCAAACTAAAGGTATATCACAAGAGGCAAAGGAAATAATTTTGAGCTGGAATATACAAAAAAAAAATGAAAGAAGGAGAATATCAGCCTGGACTAAAAGAGGCCTCTGTGTTAGGATCATCAAGGGAAGCAAAAAAAACAGACAAAAATGTAACCTGCCAGGAATGCAGCAAAAGGCAACTGAAAGAAACTTGGCACATGACTGGTTTTTCCATGGGGTAAAAAAAAACTTGAGCTGCAAATCCAAACAAATAAGAATAAGCTGAAAGAAAAGGAAAATAAATGTATGCAACCACAGAAGGCTAAATGTAAACACAGCCATAACAAGTCCAATATCCACAATTTTTCCCTCTTGCCTTGTGTATTCATAAATTTATCTCTAACTTCGAGTCCAACTTAGCTATCACGCTGCCTGAACAAGTGTATCTTCACACCCTGGACAAGGGAAGAGGGGGGGGGGGGGGGATGTACACAACATGCAGCTAATGAATATTTTACTCTGATCATCAAAGAAAACCTGGATTTGGAACACCACTGTCATAATTTCTGACAAATATACACTTCTGCTCCAACAAACTTAATTAATGTTACTAAAAACAATTGATTTCACTCTCTTAACATAAATAAATATACAATTTCTTAATAATACATAAAAAAGAAAAAAACTAAACCAAAACACACAAAACAATGTTTGATCTACATGTGACTTACTTCCTCATGGCAGCCAGCTCTTCCTTATTTTTCTGTTCCAGAAGATTTTCCAGCTCCTCTACATCAGCCTCATCCATTTCCTTTACTGCTTCCTCCTTCTCCTCTTCTTCTTCTTTGTCTTCATCAGCAACTGGGCTGCAGATCATTTTCAATTATATCAAGTTACAAACTAGTGTTTAGACAAACTATGAGTTTAGATACAAACACTTGTCCACCACATCATTATCTTCAATTCATTCTGTCCCAAGAGGAACAATAAAACAGCAGCACAGAGTTTTCTGCCAATTCTGTCTTCTTCAAACCTTCTGATGTCAACATGAATGAATTTTAAGAAAGCTGCAGCTCCATAGTTTGTCCTATACTGGAGTAGGTATAGGCCAGAGCAGTTCCATCTGTCCTGCGTAGGTTAGTCCCTTTTGCAACTAATGTTTAACTGTCTTTTTACCAAGCCTGCAGTTACATCTGTCCTGCGTAGGTTGGTCTCTCTTGCAACTAATGTTTAACTGTCTTTTTACCAAGCCTGCAGTTACATCTGTCCTGCGTAGGTTGGTCCCTCTTGCAACTAATGTTTAACTGTCTTTTTTACCAAGCCTGCAGTTACACCTGTCCTGCGTAGGTTAGTCCCTCTTGCAACTAATGTTTAACTGTCTTTTTACTAAGCCTGCAGTTACACCTGTCCTGCGTAGGTTAGCCCCTCTTGCAACTAATGTTTAACTGTCTTTTTACCAAGCCTGCAGTTTTATCTGTCCTGCGTAGGTTAGTCCCTCTTGCAACTAATGTTTAACTGTCTTTTTACTAAGCCTGCAGTTACACCTGTCCTGCGTAGGTTAGCCCCTCTTGCAACTAATGTTTAACTGTCTTTTTACCAAGCCTGCAGTTACACCTGTCCTGCGTAGGTTGGTCCCTCTTGCAACTAATGTTTAACTGTCTTTTTACTAAGCCTGCAGTTACATCTGTCCTGCGTAGGTTAGTCCCTCTTGCAACTATTGTTTAACTGTCTTTTTACTAAGCCTGCAGTTACATCTGTCCTGCATAGGTTAGTCCCTCTTGCAACTAATGTTTAACTGTCTTTTTACCAAGCCTGCAGTTACACCTGTCCTGCGTAGGTTGGTCCCTCTTGCAACTAATGTTTAACTGTCTTTTTACCAAGCCTGCAGTTACATCTGTCCTGCGTAGGTTAGTCCCTCTTGCAACTAATGTTTAACTGTCTTTTTACCAAGCCTGCAGTTACACCTGTCCTGCGTAGGTTAGTCCCTCTTGCAACTAATGTTTAACTGTCTTTTTACCAAACCTGCAGTTACATCTGTCCTGCGTAGGTTAGTCTCTCTTGCAACTAATGTTTAACTGTCTTTTTACCAAGCCTGCAGTTACATCTGTCAGGTTTCCTATCTTCTGCCAATTTAGCGCTGCAGCTTTATATACTTCTGATAAATGCAAATCTGCATTCTCTACAACTCACAGTGATCAAAGTATCTCTTAGAGGCACAGATATTTTATAAAGTACTTGCAGTGGAGTTTAAAATAAACAAGCCAAACAAAAATACCCCCCCCCCCCCCCATAGTTGAGAACACCGCAGTAACAACAATCAGAAACGAGACTCAATATCATTTAAACACATCTAAATAAAAACAACATGAAAAATTTTATATATATATATATATATATATATATATATATATATATATATATACAATATAATAATCAAACATCACATTTTTAACAAACTGATTCCAGACATACCTGGGGTCAGTTACTGCCACGTCTTTATTCTTTTCTAGATCTTTCTTTACCTTTTTTCTCCACAAGAATACTGCCCTGCAGAAATGTGATAAGAGATCAGTAAACTGCAAACATCATACATATAATTGGAAACACAAATATATAAGGTCTATATACCAGTGTTGTAAAGCATTTCATACTGCTTTGTTTGACAATCAAATCTTTATAGACAATTACCTTTATTATACAAAGGTCATAAGATCATTTCAGGGACTGTGACAATCTTCTGACAAATGTAACTTGTACGAAGATCTCTGGTGGTCATCGGAAAAATGAAGCTGCAAGGTTTTAGGCTAACAGGAAAATGGCTCGCCTGGAAGGAAACAGGCACCAATCAGGTCAGATTTTAACCTGCCCTGCCACATGACGGGCCTAGCAAGCCGGCAGTGGTGTATTTGACTGCCACTACTCAAGATTTGATCCGAGTCAACAGGCGCCAACTATGGAAAATTCTAGAAGATTATGGTATTCAAGATAAACTGTTGGGTAACATCATGGCTCTTTACCAAGATAGTCAGCGCACAGTAAGAACAAAACAAGGTATGACAGACTGGTTTCCCATCTCATCAGGTGTCAGACAGGGATGTATCCTCTCACCACTGCTACTCATTACTTACATGGATAAAGTATCACAGGAGGCAAATACAGACACTGCAGAAATCAATTAATTTTTTTTTGCAGATAATCAGTGTCTAATACACCACCAAGAACAGAATGTACACCATAGTGACACTTTACACCAAGCCTGCACAAAGTATGACGAGAATAAACATGGCGAAAACTGAGGTAATGAGGAAACATAATATCACGAAAGTTCATGTTAACCGTACTAAAATCAAACAACTACAAGAATTTGAATATTTAGGAATCATGTTTACAGAGGATGGCAGACTCGAAAGAGAGATAGAACCCAGAGTGCAGAAGGCAAATGCTACCAGTTATCCCCGATAACCTACCAGTTATCCCCACTCCTTAGCCACCAAAATGTCTCCATTCTAGCAAAACAGCAAATGATTAAAAGCATCTTCATCTCTACTTTGTGCTTTCAGTTCCAAACATGCACATCGAACATGACACTAGAACAGAAAATAACTACATGTGAAATACGCTGTCTCGGCAAGGTCACTAACACCATACAAGATAGTGTTACGAATACCAGCATTAGAGGGAAAGTTGGAATAAGACCATGTCTGGACAGACAAAAAATGAAATGGTTCGGCCATCTAGTGAGAATGCAGCTAGACCAGACTGCAAATGAGACTGTTTACAGCAGAACATTTAGAAGGAAGACCAAGAAAGAGATGGATAAGTGGTGTAGATTAAATCCCCAAACAGTTGAACAAATCCACCACTCAAGCCATTCAAGAAGCGCAAGACAAATACAGAAAACCACGAAACTGGGTTACTACCTGGTAACAATGTGACGACAAAAGAAGAAGATCACTAGAGCTGTGGAGTTGGCATGCCATTTACAGAGAGCAGTTAGCTTTTGTTAGCAGCTGTTTACAGGCAGCTATATGGAAAGATAGCAAGTAAATCCTCTTTAAATGAAAATGTTTAATCTTTATCCAGCCTAACAGTTGCTCATTATCACTTACTTGATCTCTTTTTTGCCCAGCAGCTTGATGTCTTTGATGCATTCTCTAATCTCACTTGTTGTCAGTGGATGATTTTTGATCTCTTCAGAATCTAAAGAAATCTGTGGGGGGAAAAAAAACAGCATGAAATATCAGAATGGGCAGATGAAACAAGAGTCACAAATTATCATCATCAGAGTTGTACAGAATATTTACATTTAAAGAAATGGTTTTTAATCGCTAACCTTATGTCTCTTTTCTGCCTCTCTTTGAACCTTTCCTCTCCAAGTTGTACACAGGCTCTCAAATAACTCAAAGCCCCCGTGTAGACATGTATGCTTGGCTGGGTTTCCCAGCCAGTCTCCGAGGGATGAATTAGCTAGATCCATGCCAACAATCTTATATACCCCCACTGATGTATTACAGTTATTACCTGTGTGGGTTCCGCTTCCCCATTTCAGGGAGGAGATATAGTGGGAAAGAAGTAGATATCGCTGCCTCCCTGTAAGAGTAAACTAATGGGGTTCCTTGAAAGTCAGAGTGCATCTGTCTGAGAGGCATGGAACCAACAGTCTGCATACAGATCACATCTGTAAAACAGATAGGCATGAAAAACTCAAGTTCTGGAATTCGTCTAACGTCCAGAAGTGGGTGAACAACCAGAACTTTTGGCCTCTAAACACGAAGAAGAAGAAAAGATTCCAGTTGTGAACCAGAGGACTTTTTGCAAATAGATCAAATGCCAGATCAAAGATTCTGCAATATAAGGTGAAATCTTGGCAACAAGAAATACCAAGTTATAAAAAAATATGACAAATGATCCCAAAACAGGTACAGAAATGAAAACAAATGATTTGGGGACATCTAAGAAAAGAAGCCTATGACAAATGTTGATGACGTAGGTCAGGGCTATTCAACTACGTTTACTTGCGGGCCAAAATTTTGAAAATGGGGATCGTCGCGGGCCAGTGGTCCGAGCCAAGTGTGGAAAGATTATTAACACTACAATTGAGAAAACTGTCAATGTGTAAATTTAATACACTCTAAGACTGTTACGCCTAGGCGCCTTAGCCTACGGTAATATAAATAAAACAGTGTAGTAAACCATTGTAATGTAAAATGTACTACAATTTTTTTTAATGATAAAATAATACTTTTTTAATTAAAATACACGTATTTCCAACTTGTTTGAATTATAAATAAAGGATAGCATTGTCACTTGAACTGCATTGTCATAATAATAATAACTGTCCACAGTTAATTTCATATGGCTTTGTGCAGAAAAAACTTGAAGCTATAACGCGGCAAAATGTAATTAATGGGAAAAGTTGCAAATCTGTTTTTGAGCTAATTTTATGACAGTTAGCTGGTGAGAAGTCAGATCAATTCTCATGCAATCCTGCAGCCTATCATTGCCCAGTTAGCTCCAACTGTTTGTTTTGATGACGTTCATATGTGAAAAGCTTGATTCACAAGTGAAAGTTGAACCAAACATGGTGAATATGAATACGGCAACTTTTCTAGCATTAGGAAACGGCTTTTGTTTCGGACCAAAACTTGACGATACCAAATACTTGAAAATCTGCATTCAGTGCTCTGGAACTTTGCATATCCACATGTTCTAACTGCAGAGAACCTTCATCAACAGAGGATAACAGCTTTTTAGCATTCGAAGAAAAATCACCAGTAGGAGGGATTTTAAAAGAATCTCGAACAAATAACATTACATTGTTTGGGATAATGAAGTCTTAAAATCTGTTGTTGATATTATTCTGAAGCATTTTTGTAAAAAAAATCTATCATTTGATTGGTTATCAAGTTTACACAAGAGCTTTGCTGCTATGCTGATGAGCAGTAATCAGCGACTCATCCTTTGATTTCCTAGCAGTGAAACCTTCTGGATATGATTTCCCAAAATCAGCATGTTTCGTTGTAAAGTGCCGCTTCACGCTGTACTCCTTTACTGCCAACACACATTCGTTGCATAGCAAGCACTTGGTTTCAAATTAGGCATAGCTGGTGATATAAAAAAACATTTAAGTGTCCAGTTGTTGAATGCATGATTTTCACATTCCCACTTTGCCTTTTTTACTAGTACCAGCCATGGCATCAAGTATTTAACTAAATTATTAAAATTTAGATAACTCAAAACACTGTTTCTGTTTCAGTTTGTGACTACAAAATCGTGTCCAGCAGTCTACATCAAGCTATGACTTGCATACTGGACGTTCACAAAAAGTCTGATTCTAATGTGATAAGATCACAAGCTGGTGTTCTGTTGTGTCCAGTGTCACTAATATGTTCTGCAGTATCCATTGTCATTAGTCTTTGTGTACTTTTACTAATTACATTTCCATGCCCATTCCTGCAGTTGTGGTATGGTCTGTTCATGTGCTCGTTCCCAGTGTATCTTCACATTTAGAGATCCCTGACAAACATTTCCTATTGTCACATTCGACACAACTGGCTTTTGAAGATTTGTACAGAAATAATTTATTAAAATTTTTTTTTTATTATTTTACATTTCAGTGGCAACGATCAGAGGACACTCACTAGGCCTCCGTGGGCTGCCAGTTGAATAGCCCTGGCCTAGGTGCCAGACATAAAGACATATTAGTGACAGAACAAATGATGAGGAAAATTCGGTGAACTGTATAACCGTAGCATTGAATCTACATAAATGGCCATCAAATGGTAAGGCAGAGGCAAAACTCTGCCATTTTTGTGTGAAGTGTGATGTCTTCACACATTCTAGACAGTGATATCATGAGGTGTGGTGGTCAATCCCTCGCTACCTTTCCTTCCTATACAAATCTTGGAAAATTCTCCCAATGACCGTTACACATTGTGTGAGTTCAGTAGACTCCAGGGAGGACCTTGCTGGACAAAAGAATCCAGCAACTGCTGGAGACTGAACCAGTGTCTCTACAACGGTAAGAAAACCCAATTATGGATTACATTTTCCACGACTAATTAAAAACATGACACTAAAGGTGAAGGAAGTAGTGCCCATTACAGGCCAGGCTGGATATGTGTGGACTCACAAGTCTGACTGTGTCTTCAGCCTGACTTAGACATGATTTGTCCCCATCTAGTATGTTTCCTTTTCTGATGGTGAATGCTTCAAGCAACATACCCTCCTTGGCTTTGTGGAGTGATAAACTGACAAATGACAACAAAGACATTAACTATACCAACCTCAGATGACTGAGCAAGCAAATTCATGTAGTCATCACTGCTAAAGAACTGAGTGACAGGAAGTGTATAAAATAATGTGTAGTCTCCTTCAGGGTATCCCTCTCTCTGTCTGCAAGGTAAACAAGAGAAACACTGAAAATATCACCAGGTAGGATTTATTAAAACACACACAGATTTACACATGTGAATGGAAGAGTCCACTGCATCACCATGATGAATTAAGTTTTATTCATTTAATCTAAAAGAAAGCACAGAAAACCAGGGACACTTTTCGTATCATAGATTTAAATGGTCTGATGAATTGGCACATGCAATTTAGTTTCAATTATGCAGAACTTTTTTAATGCTTTATTTTCTAAAATGAGAATCCTTTTCAATTTGGGTAATTTGTTAATTATGATTCAAAATATATTTCTTTCACTGATCCTAGCTCACAGGTCAAAATCACTACTAGGAATTTAACCTGGGAAATAATGCGGCTAGTGGGACCCAGGTCACGCCAGCCAAGGAGTAACAGCAGGTTGACAAATAAGTGTTTAGCATCAAATACACAAAAGAACTTATGGTGCAGAATCACACAGCATCAACTGAGTTTTCTGATTTGAACTGTCAACATTATTGAAACCAGCATCATGCTAAAATATTACCAAATAGTGTTATTATTTCTGTTTACAATTCTTGAAGAAAGTGGTGTCTAAGACAGTTAGCTTTCAGGGCAACAAGAATTTACATTCTTACCTTCTCTTCTTTTCTGGATGAATTAAATCTATGGTAGGTCGTGGTGTCTTGTCCACTTCCTGGAATACATGTTTTGGATCCAGGAACTTGGGGTCAATTTTATCTGGGGCATTAAAGCCTTGACACACCACAAAGATTTCTGCAGACTCATTTCGAGAGGCCTGTGGCTTGGTGGCATGCACATTCTTGAACAGCTGCCCAAAAACCCACATAAGTGCATCATAATCCTTTGAGCGGAACACCTTTGTGATGAACCAGCCACCTTTGCGGAGAAACTCGGATGCCAGCCTCAAGGCATGCAGTGTGAGTTCAGCTGAAAGTGGATGAAATGGTTGATTTAAAATTAAAATGAAATTAGGAATTGCAACCTTTATACAATGTTATAACAATATTACATCATGAAGTACACAATGGTATTAGAAAGAAACTTACTAAGAAAGATTAAGAAGAAATGCAACCATTATTTAGTTAGCAGCCAGGACCTTGAGTCCCAGCACAACGGTTACAATTCTGTTTCCAAAAATATAATGAAAAAATAAGAAGGAGAAGAAGATGAAGGGAACAAATAAACTATTTCAGACAAATCAATGCTTTGAATGCCCAAACACACATAAAATTGAGGACTTCAGACAATCAAGGAAGAAAAGATGACAGCGAGACAACCAAGTGTAAATACAATACAAGGAAGTGCTTCAGCTTCAAAATTAGCACTTATGATGCGATCACCATGACAGCATGAAACACTCATCTATGTTTTTACTCTAGTGCATTTCTGGAAATTCTGAAAATTATCTGGTATCCATTTTATGAGGATGGAACAATCCCCTGAATGCTGAGTTTACTGAAAAAACAATCCCCTGAATGTTGAAAACTGAATACAGACCACCACCACTAACCACCTTCTATTTAATCTATTTATACAAGCTGCTGCATTAGTTTCTACAATCAGTGCTGTAAGGAAGATACATTACCTTGTAAATAAGCATCATGTATCCAGTTCTTTCCAACATTGGGAGCACCGTCGTTCAGAAAACAATCCGCCTTCGCTGTATGCAGCTCTTTTTTCAAGATCTAACAGTCAAATACAGAAAAAGAAACACTAGTAATAAACAGTTTCAACATCCTACACCTGCTGTGAAACCACTACAGTGACAACCAATATGATATTAAACATACAAAATCAGCTTACAGATGAGTTCTTCAAATAGTAATATAGCAAAGAGAAATGCAATATGGCACTTGTCAGCCCTCTATACCTAACCTGCCAGTAATTTCATCTGGTGTTAAAGGATACAAGAGTCAGAGAGTTAAAAGCTGCTAACCAAACATTGTGTGTCACCTGGGCCCTCACGGGAAGCAAGGAATAGTGACACTGCACCCTACCAGGCATGTCATCAGAGGAGACTAAGGGTAGGGTTGGGCTTGAGGTTGGCTACCCCATCCTTTAAAAACAATAACCACAAAAACCAACCAACCATGGATAAGTTGAAAAGTAAAACCCAGCCAACTGAGATGTGGGGAGGCTCTTCAAGTAGAATAAGTATGGCACAGTGTAAAGAAAGCTGAAAGGAGTCCAGATCGTTGACATATCTCCTCTCACCTAGGAAAACCTCCAGACGCTGGCATTGGATAGGACACACGTTGAGAAAACCGGAGAACAATATAACTGGAATGTTATAGGAAAAAAGGAAGGCTAAAAAAACACATGGAGAAGGGAGCCGGAGAATAAAGTTAGAAGAATGGGGAGTGCTAGGACTCGACAAAACGGCCGTTGGCTGTATCTAACAGATAGATATTTACTGTGTTTGACTCAGATTACCAACAGGTATTTTTGCGACAAGGTGTTGAGTCAGACGGCAGGATAATATTAGTGTTAAGCTACTGTGTTGACAATAGCAGCAATCCATTTATGTGTCGAACAGTGCATTAACGAGATGGTTCATTAGAGTTTTGTCTAGTTCCGTGACATGGTCTATCTACCCACACTAGCCAGTAGCACTGCAGTTCTGGTATAATTTACCTAAGCGTAGAAAAGAACTAGGATGGGAGGCCAAGGGTTCTGACCCAGGTAATACCTGGAACAACTGCATGGCCAGTGTGTGAGTGGTGATTGTAAAGCCCTCACGGCCAGTTAGGGCAGTGTTGCGAGCCACCTCTGGAAGAAACTATTCACGTTTTGTTGTAATGGATATTAAAGACTAAAATGTATGCAGACTGTGTTGGGTCAGTTGTGTTTAAGGATAGACATTTCTGACACGAGCCTACACATAAGCTATATGCCTCCACAGCAGTAAAGTAGTTTCTTGAATTATCACTTGAATGTCTTTGGGGCTACTCATTTTTTACCCAATTATATTCACCTTCTATGACTTAGCAAAAAAATATGTGTATATCACGATATATGACATAGTCAGAAGGACATCAGGTAACGTATGTACGGTTTACCAGCCATCAAAATCAGGCACACAGTTTGTTTACCAGTAATTAGAAACCATTATGACTGTGTGTACCCAAATTCTTAAACTTGATGCAGAGGTTTCACACACTAATAATACCCCCCCCCCATCAACTCCGTAATAATTTGAGCCTAGAACTGAACAATAGATCACAACATTCTGATTTTTCTTGTTTTCGCTTTCTGATTCACATCGACAGACAAGTTTTTGTGATGAACTTGACTGTTTCAGAAGTTCCCTTTTAGTGCCATACAACGCTGACTCAGTGGGCCAGGGGTCCCTTCTTAATGGGCTGTACAAGGGACATTCTTGCAAGACATGTTGTGTAGTCTGCACACACAGCCCACAAGGGCACAATGCTGAACCACTCGGACGAAGCCTGGGCTTGTTATGTCCCGCCCTGAAGCGTAGAATAATGACTTGCCTATGCAAGTAAGTGGTAGTCATCTATGATTTACTGGATGGCCCTTTTCTTCTCAAGTGCATTCTCTTCCTGTTCACAATCTGCCCCTTTCTTAGCAAGCTCATCCACGGTTTTGTTCCCTGGTATACCACAGTGGAATGGCACCCACTGGAGCACAGTACACTTTTGGGCGGCCACCTTGCTAGGTTCAGAACTCAGGTGAGAGAGTTTACCACTCTTGAGGGCTTTGAGCACCGATAACGCATATGTGAAAATGACCACTTGGTGACAGTCAAAATTGGCATGTAACATTTCGGCAGCCTGCTCTAGTACTAATGAATTTACCAGTGGGTATATACTTTATGTGGCAGTGGTTATCTGGACATGTGATCAAGATGCCAGCACCTCCATTTTTAACCGCACTAGTTGCTAAACTATCTGTGTAAGCATGTATTCATGAACGCATTCATCTCCAGCTATGAGTCCACTGACTGAAGTCATTACTTGCATTGTGTTGCTCCCAAGGTACAAGGTATAGATTTCAGCGGTGTTCTCATGGGTAGATCTGCTTGATACTGTCTACTAAGTCTTTTTTCCCTGATGGACAAAGCTACTATGACAGATACAACAGTACCAGACCAACTAGTCTTGCTTTTATTTGTTTGACTGCATACTGTTAAACTTCTCCATCTGGATCATAGTTTTAGTGTCTCTTCCATAGGACATTGCACTGCAGTTATTTTCTGCATCTCCAGGACTTGTGCGTTTTCATAGATCCTGTGATAAGTCCAAGGACTTGATTTTGCACTCTAATGACTGTAGATGAGAATTAGCAGCTGATGACCAAGCTGTTGCACCAAACTCTATGTGGGGTCTGTCTTACAGCTCATAACACGAACTAATGACCTTCAGAGCAAGAGGCAAATGATGTAACCAGAGGGACCCACTTACACTAAATGTCAAACTGTTCTTACTATGAACTCCCTAGCATTTCTGTCTTTATACAGCCATCCACATACATAATTATTCACCCTGAACACAACCAAGGAATAGTGTATACACTAATCCACATTAAATTCAAGCATTCTTTGGTAATGAGTTAAAATTGCTGAATGCATAATAAGGCTATCTATGCAATAAACGCAACTGCAGTGTGTAGATATTTTTTAAGCCGGACAGCAAAAATATTGAAAAAGAGATTGAATATTCAACAATGAACCCTCCATTTACCTGTCTGCACTTCTCTGTAGTTATGTCTTCCTGAAATGTTATCACATTTCGAATTGGGGGTATTGGTACCAGATCAATACCTAGAAAAATAAAACCATGGAATGATTATACAAACATAATAAACACCATCACAGCAGGTTTGTCAATCACTTTAAACAAAACAAAGGATCAATCAACAAATGTAGTAAAGTTAAAAAAATTTCACAATTTTGATCATAAGCATGTCTACAATTTTAACTGATTTGGTCTTTTTACATAAATTATAAATGTGCAGTTTTACAGTGAATTACTAGAAGCACTGTTTAAATATCTAGATACCTGAACTTATGTCAGAAGACCTGAAATATATGAAATGGCTAAAAGCAGATTGGTTAGTTTCACTAACCAGATGTCAACTGATGCAGATCTATCATCATCAAGTGCCACCAACCCAGGGTCTATCCAGAAACACTGTTGCCAGTCAAAACGTGAAAAAGACAATAATATGCTGTTCTTGAACTTTATGTGTGTCAAAGAAAATCTCTCCCTATCTATATAATACAGACTGTAAATCTATTTATTATTAGATAGTGTATCCAGTGACAATTCCGTCTAAGAACTACTGCCAACCATCAGGTTCAACACTATGAATAGTGACTGCTTTTATAGGAACTGAATAGAGGAGCAATTTCATCACTGCGGATAAGTATTTACATGGTAATTTGGAGTTGCAGCCACCCGGACACTTAGTGCCCAGTATTACCATTACCCATTTACTATATCAGTAGCAATGATAAGTGCAAGATCAGGGAATAAAAACAGGATCCCACGAGCCAGTGCACTTATATAACAACTGGTATGGCCCCTGGTACTCCACAGGGGGTATTTATCCCCCCAAGCCGACACGTGTTGTCATTCTGCTGAGAAACAACAGACCCCGTTGCTTCAAGATACCAGCTAAATGATTTTGTGTATCTGTGTAGTATTGTTTGATTTGCTCAATAGCCGCAACGTTCACGTTTTGTATCTGTTATATTGTGAAGTTTGCTAATATACTTTTCGTTTGGTTTATATTTTTAGAAACAAAATGACAAATATTTAAAAATATTTATTGGAAAAGAACTATAAATATAAAGCGCTCAACATAAAATGTACTCACCTATAATGACATTTGACATTGGGGCATTCTCTGCAGCCACCTGAAGCCAACCACCCGGTGCAGCGCACAGGTCAACAATAACATTTGATCGCTGCAAAAACTCAAATTTCCTATTCAACTGAATCAGCTTGAAGGCAGCTCTTGACCTATATCCTGAAGGGGTAATAAACAATCACTTTCATTAAATACAATACTTGCTCATAAAGCCTACGTACTCTAATGGTAAGTTAAAGGAAGTAAAATAATACAGGAATTATGTTCCTGCAACTAGAGACAACACAAAGTATTTAGGTGTGAAATATCAGTGGAGACTTGAAAAGGCCATAAGTCTGGGGTTTCTCAGCAAAAGAGAAGTTAGCAAGGGGGCCAAAAGAGCTGTTTACCGCTCTACCTATGTGCCAGTCCTGACATATGGGTAAAAGTTACGGACAATGACAACAGCTCACAGAAGCCAGCTTCAGGCCTCAGAAATGAGATATCTGAAAAAGGTGGTCCAAGTGACAAGAAGGGACAAAGTTCACAGTCAGACAATACACCAAGACCCTAAAGCCCAGGCTTGAAAAACTCGGGTAGATCGGTCATTATGGTTTGGATTTCTATGCAGAATGGGAGAGAATCAGCCACCAAAAAAGGCATGGGAGGCTAAGAACCAAGGAACAAGACCACCAGGATGACCCAGGGCTCACTGGAAAGACATCTGACGGTCCATGATTGACAGAGGACTCAAATGGGACAAAGCCAAAATGAAAACTGCTGTCTAGCAATCTCTCTGGCAAACCTCTACAGTCCAAGGTAGAAGGAGCAACTAAATAAGCAAGATAGAAAAGTATGGCGATCTTTCTGGCAAACCTATACAGCCCAAGATATAAGGAGTCTCTAAGTCAGCAAGTAAAAAATATCTGTGAATGTTAGCTATTTTTACAGTGTACTGTCCCAAATGAGAGTGACTGCGACAGTTGGTTTAAACCCGTACGCACATCAAGATGGGACTTTAAAAGTTAATTATCCCTGTAAAGTTCTAGGGTCCCATTTAGAGGGGGCGGAGAGAAGAATAGACAAACTGCCTTGGTAACAAGCACGTTCAAAGAACTGATTCATTAGGGGTTTTCTTAAAAGGTAGAGTGCATCTTTGTGTAGAGAAAAGTCATGTCTGTAGAACGGATGTACACATCAAACTGATGTTCTGGAACAAGTCCAGAACTTTCTTGGAAGGGGGTGGGGGGAGTTTACAGCTGGTGAATGCGAAGAAGACATGCAAATTACAGCTTTCAGGCTAAAATTTTTACCAGGAAACGTCCGGAAGTAAATGATGTTGATCACACTTTACCGTATATAAGAAAATTTTCAAAGTAATGAAATTTAGGCTCTCCTTCGAACTTCATCCCCATATTATGGTGGCCAAACAAGGCCTCAGTCGTGTGTAAAATGAGGACTTCCTCAAACGAACGCATCACTGCAAACTAGGATTACTGCCCTTTGACAATTTCGAGACACGCAACAATACACACGATAATAGTGACATGGCGGGGAGACCACGCACTCAGACGCAGGTTAGCGATAGTGTTCTCCCGATGAAACTCACCGCCAAGCGTATTCCACGCCCCTACTTTTTACGCGGATGGGGGGATAAACTAAATGGCTGGGACTCACGAGCAGCAGCTACAGCATCTCCTGCAGCTTCCTCCAATTTATTTGCTCGTGAGTTCCAGCCAGCTAACTTAGCCCCCATCCATGCCAAGCGTAGCGGCGCGGGCGATACTGTCGGCAGTAGTTGTTGTTTGCAGATGATGCGGCAATAACCACCCACTCAGAGGAGAAGCTGCAATGTTTACTATCTGCCTTTGCTGATGCCTGCTGTGAATTTGGACTAACAGTCAGCAAAAAAAAGACAAAGGTTATAGGGTGTCAATGACAGACCTACAGTCTACATTGACGGTGAAGAGCTTGAGACAGTATACCATGAATGATACAGGTATTGAGGCATGAGACTGAAGAAAGAAATGATTGCAGAAAGGATGAGGGCTGAGCGAAAGTGAAAGGAGTAAATCCTGGAAGACAAAACAATTTCCTGGACAGCTCGGCTACATAGATTGCTGCAATCGGCTATCCTTTGAATAACGGGCACAAAAGATGGCGGCCGCAAAATATCCTGACGAGCCTCAGTCACGTGTCATGTCTAGTAAACATCCAAAAACTAATAAGGAACCAAAAAAAATGTTAGGCTCTACTCCGAATAACGGTCAAAAATTATCTACGCAGAAAGTGAACCCTAACAGAGCCTCAGCCATATCTACAATTCAAATTTTTTCTGCGGCGAATCAACCACGTCAAAAGTGGGATTAATTGCGCACGTCATTTTCGCGAAACGTAACGGATTTTTTAACGGCGATTAAACTGCGGCAAAACTAGGATTAGCTACGGACGAAAAATTAACGACACGCAAGAATACACCCGTTAGGGCTATCCTACGGCAGGGCCTCAGTTATATGTGAGTTGCGGACCACTTTTCGCCGACTATAGTGCCACCTCCGAAAGTATCCGCGCGTAGCGGCGCGGGGGATACCTTCGGAAGTGGCACTATAGTTGCCGGAAAAAGTCATGAGCTACTTCTTCCGTTGAAACTACCAGCGTGGTCGAATTCTCCACAGTCAAGGGATGGTCGGGATAGTGGAGCACCATACTGGCGGCTGCTGGTTTGAGTTGTCCCGAGGCGACATGCGAGTACATTAAAACGCGCATTACTGATCATGTCTCACCCGGAATGAGAATCGCGGACAAGCCTGTTCGCATCTTTTTCAGCTGAGTTGCAATGGCGGACAACCAGAAAGAACAGATATTCGCGCACTATTTGCACCTTCTGTGCCACAATTTTCACATATAAAGGATGTCATTGTCGGTAAGTGGTAGACTTCGCCCTCTTCCTCACACTTTTTGTTCCTTATTTTTTCCGAGCTACAACTTTTAAACGTTCGTAGGGCAGGTCGTAATGAGGCTCTGTTAGTTAGGGTTCACTTTCTGTGTAGATAATTTGGGACCGTTATTCGGAGTAGAGCCAAATGTTATATCAAATCGACTACACTTACAGATAATTTTATGCCTTTATATCTGGAAATTAAAATTATGGCACAGAAGTTGTAAATAGTGCCCAAAAATCTGTCTTTGGCTCTTACGCCATTGAAACTCGGCTAAGTATGATCGGAACAAGGCCCGGCTGGTACCGCATTGGTAACGCAGCTTTCTTTTAAGTAGCATCCATGAAATGGCTATCCTCCGAATAACAGGCACAAAAGATGGCGGCCAAAAACAGGGCCTCAGTCAAGAAGGACTCACGAGCAAAGTTGCAGGAGATGCAGAAGCTGCTGCTCGTGGGTCCCAGCCATCTAGTTTAGCCCCATCCGCGCTGCACGTGTCTCGGCGGCGAGTTTAACTTGGCGGTTTGTTCCGTTTCTCAACAGACACTAATCCTTGTTTTCCCCGCGATGTGCTCGTGACCGCAAGTGCGCAACTGACACGTGACTGAGGCTTGTCAGGATATTTTGCGGCCGCCATCTTTCGTGCCCGTTATTCGGATGATAGCCCCGCAATCACTGCGTTTGATTAGGGCAAAAACTTTGGCTCTCCTGTCAAATTTGGCCGGTAAGCTGGACTGCTTCGGTCGGCTTAGCGGGGCTTAGTGGGAGTTATGTCCCCGTGGCCGCACTCAAAACAACTCAAAACAAGTCGCGGAAAAAGTCACGAACAAATGACATACTTACCTATCATCATCCGGGTGCGTGTAGGGTTGCGTAGGGTGTCTATCATCATCCTACGGTTGCGTGTAGGGCTGCTTATTGCGTGTAGGGTTGGTTGTTTGCGTAAGATAGATGAGGGGTAGGGTTAGGGTTTAGGGTTAGGGTGTAGGGTTTTAGGGGTTAGGGTTAGGGGTATGGTTCGATTTGTTTGAAAATTTTCACGTAGGAGGTCGAAATAGTGGCCGACAATCTGACGTCTGTGGGAGTGGCGCCACTGAAACTCTTGTCAAATATGACGCCAATAGCGGGCAGCTGGTGCCCAGTCGCAGGCGAAGTGATCGTTTCACCAAAGTCCACAGGCCCTCGATTGTTTGTGTGTGTATGTGACTGTGCGCGACGTCGACAAAGTTGGTCTGGTGGACTACTACCTCGTGCAGATAGATGCCATGCCTTAAGTTTGCGACGTTGCTGTAGCCTCGCCAAGCGTCAGTCACGATGGTCGTTCCTGGCAATTATCTCCTAACCCTAACCCTCATCTATGTTACGCAAACAACCAACCCTACACGCAATAAGCAGCCCTACACGCAACCGTAGGACGATGATAGACACCCTACGCAACCCTACACGCACCCGGATGATGATAGGTAAGTATGGTAGGATGATGATAGACACCCTAAGCAACCCTACACGCACCCGGATGATAGGTAAGTATGTCTTTTGTTTCGTGACTTTTTCCGCGACTTGTTTTGAGTTTGGCCAAGGGACATAACTCCCACTAAGCCGGCTGAAGCAGTCCAGCTTACCGGCCAAATTTGACAGTAGAGCCAAAACTTTTTCAGGACTATTAATCGGGGAGATGGTCATCCATGACTACCCACATAAATAAACACACGTTGTTCTGACTTATCTTTGCTTTTTTATTTATTTTTTTAGTTATCAATTATCTCAAGAAAAGTGGCAGAAGGGGGAAAAGTCAAAAAAAAAAAAAAAAAAACGGTTGCCATCGTCATCCTGCAACTCTTCACATTATTATCATTATGAAATGTCATTATTAGAACAGTGAAGAATTAGAAGGGTTTTTAAACATGAACGCATTTTTATAAATCATCAGGGATATGACTTTCATTACCTGTTTCCTTGGCTAAGTGGTAAAACTTGTCCTTTCTAGACTTTCCTACTTTTAGTTTTTTCCCCATGATGGACGCCGACGAGATTGATCTTCTTTACAAGCAGTACAAGCACATGTCGGTAAACGGTATCCGTCAACAAATCACGTGGTCTGGAAATGAATGCAAAGATAGATATGTTTATTTATTTATTGAAAAATATGTTGCTGTATATTTATTGAACAAATATTTTATGTATATAAAGTATATAATATACTTTAAATGACTTATGCATTTGATTGGCAAACGTTTAATAATTTTTTTGTTTAAAAAAATATGCGAAACAAACTGACAATCCACACCACATTTGTCATAATTAGGTTGTCCAGTGTTGCCACTTTGAAAGTTTTACATCCAGATTTAGGTGTTTTCCCTTACATTTAGATGTGTTTTTGACGTCTAGATGGTAGATATTTTTCAAGTGTTTTTCATTTGGAGTTAGATATTTCATTGATTTTTTTTATTTCAGTGTGAGCATAATAATTACAGTGTAAAATTTTTACTACAATATTTTTGTTTTTAGTGTGGCACGTACATTGTGACAATTGCGATTACTTAAACTTTAAACTCTCCCTGGGGTCAACGCTCAAATATCTAGCGGTCCCGGTACTGATTAATGAAAAGAGAGCGTAAATCATACTAACTTTGTTTTAACCGTATCCTCACTGTGCTGCGTTTGTGTTTCTTTTTCATGTGATTTTAAAAAATTGCTCACCTTCATATGTGGTTTTCACTTGAAAAAAAAAACCTTTCAACATGGCAAAATTAAAGTATAAGCAAAAATTTCGGAAAGAGTGGTTGCATGATGACAAAATTAAAGACTGGGTGATGGCAATTCCTGGGGATATGACCAAGGCTCGTTGTAAGTACTGCAAGTGTGAAATTAAAGTGAAAATACAAGACTTAAAAAGCCATGCAGAGACTAAAAAGCATGAAACTGCAGTTCCATTCAAAGATATTACACCAATGACATCTGACATCAGAAATACACTGATATCATCAAAAGTTAAAAGATCTGTCGCAATGTTTTTAAGTTGTCACTGTGCAACTTCAAACTGTGACCATTTGATTGATTCATTGCAGCTAGCATTATCACATGCTTCATCTGTTTACCCAGGAATTTGGAATACCTTATTGCTGAAACACATAACTGGTTTTCCAAATCATTTGTCAGAAAACAGCAATACAATACATTATTTACAGCCTTAAATGATGGTTCCACACCACTGAAAAGTCTGTCAGATTGCAAAACCAGATGGTTATCAATTCAACCAGCTGCTGAAAGAATTGTGAACCAATGGTTGGAGTTGAAGACACACTTTGAAATAACAAGACAAAGTGTAAAGTGCTACACAGCTGACATACTATATGGAATGTACAGTGATTAAAAAAAAATTGGCATTACTTCTCTTTTTACAAACTAGTCTAATGAAAGTGAAATAAGTTATATTGATAAAGTTAAATTACTTGACGATCTCACTTTGCTATTTCACTCAGTTGGTAAAAGAGTATTTGGCTCCTAAGCCATACCTTGGATATCAAATCGAATCAAAAATTGATGATTTAAAAACAAAAGGACTGTTAACAGAGAATGAAGAGAACAACTTAAGAAAACGCTGTCAAGATTTCCTTATCTCATTGTTGAAGCAATTGAAGCAGAGACTTCCTGAAACTCTAGATGTATTGAAAAATATTTCACTATTTTCTGTGAGCAACATACTTCAGCCAGTAAAGGACATACCTAAATATTGTAAAGTTATGAAATTTTTAGGGGCTACTGATAATAGTGTCGCGGAAGCAGAATATCAGTTAACCAAAATCACGGCCTACTCAGCACAAACAAATTTGTCCAGTTTCATCTTGTTGGATGAAATCAATTCCTTATCATTGTGAATTTTTTGGTAACTATTTAAAAATACACATATTTCTGAATACTGCATGCAACAACGCGTATAAGTATCATGAATGGTATATTATTTTAAAGGTAATTAAAGCAAATTAAAAAAAGACCATATAACTGCAAATGCTGTGCAACATACACATATAAAACACAAAAATTCCCCCATATAGATACCAGATCTTATTGTTCAAAACAGTGTCTGGAACAAGACTAAAGTCCAGAATTAGACGAACAACCAGAAGTTTCTGCCAGAGTTTACAGCCAGTGTTCGTGAAGGAGAAGACAATTCACAAAAATGAACAAAGACCGTACAACTGCAAATATGCATAAGAAGTAGATGAACAACCAAAAGTTTCTGCCAGAGCTTACAACCAGTGCCCGCGAAGCAGAAGACGATTCACAAAAATAATATTGTTAGTGTACTTTTACAACATATAATTATACTGTTAGTCAACAATTAGTAAAGATGCAAAGAGTGACTTACCTAAATTACCTGTTTGTATTTTCTCCAAAAGTAAGATTTATACATTCAAAGTAGAAAAAAAGAAAAAACAGCCAGTCCCCGAAAATCCCAAATCCCAAATACTGACTAGAAACAGTGACACACACATCACAACACGACTGTCTGTCGTGAATTTAAATTCAAATTGCTGTTATCTAACAGCAAAGCTTGAAAATCTTGAATATCCACTTCACAATATCCGCTTGTCGATTTGTTATACGAATACATTCAGCACGTTAAAATGTCACACAATGCAACATGGAAACGCTTCCAGTAGCCAATTTTTGAGGGGACTCCGCCAAAATGTACCGTGATTTAGTTAAAAGGACCTATATACAGAAGGACCTGACCAAAATAAACTTAGTTGAATGAACAAACAAAACAGAAACTGAAGGGTTTTGGAGTGAAGTGAGACAATTTAAAAATTCCTCATCACACAGTCCATTCTGTAAGCTCTTTAAATGTGCCATGTTTGCCATCATACTACCCCACTCAAATGCTGACGTAGAAAGAGTTTTCGGTGCAATGGAATATCAAATCTAACCTAACATCATCATCAGGTACCTTGTGTACTGGCGTGGGCGATCATGCCTCTCCATAATCTGCGATCTCCTGCAGCATGTACCAGTTCGTGTGCCGACACACCTCCATGCCATGCAATCATACTGTCAAGCATCTTCTCTCGTTGTCTTCCTCTATCCCTCCTTCCACAGATCTTTCCAGTGGTCACAACATGTTCTATTTTCCCTCTTCTCATAACATGGCCGAAAAATGATGACTGTCTCCTTCTGATGTCTGTGAAAAGTTGTCTTCGGGCTCCCACCTCTTTCAAAAACCTGTTGGTTGCTCTTTTTGGCTGTCCAAGGTATTCTAAGCCTTTTTTTTGTGTGTGTGTGTAAAACCACAACTCTGAGGCCTCTAGAAATTGATTGGCCTGCCTACCGATTGTCCAGGATTCACAGCCATAATGTTAAAACTGGATGTATGTAGCAAGCAAAAATTCTTTTTCTAACTCTCAATGACAAGGATATATTGTGCAAGATGTTTTTCATTTTGTAAAATGCAGTTTTTGCCTGTCCTATTCTGTTTCTTATCTCAGTTATGCATCTTCCATCTAATGTTATCCATGTGCCCAGATACTTAAATTTCTGTACTTGTCCTAAAATAACACCTAACAAACAGGATGAAATGATATGTTGACAATAAAATACGGCCTGATGAGAGTAGGAAAAGGCTGTTCCACTTATCAGCGCCCTGATTGTGTATTAAAAGAAATTAGAACAGCTAAAGCATGTCAGAGTCATTTTGGATTTGAAGCTTAAACTCCATCATCCAAGCTAAGTTTATCCTGTGGATCTTGTGACGCAGACATAAGTGAAAATGAGGACATGATTCTATAGGGTAAGTCACATCAATAGCTTTGTAATTTGTGACTCTTTCCATTTGGATGTTTTTACTAGATGTTTCCCACGCAAATTCAGCTGTTTTTAGATATTTTTTGACTTCGCTCTGGATGTTTTTTGTCAATGAAAAGTGGCAACACTGATTAGTTGTGTGACGTATTTCCCCATGTGGATGAGGTCCCGACGGCAATACTTTTGTTGTCTTCTGTTGAATTGTTTTTAATAGTTTACTGAATAAACTTCAGGTGAGCAGTTTTTGCTAAAATGAGCAGTTGTTGATGTGTATTTCATGGAATTGCAGTGTGATCAACATGTTATTGGCGTGATTTAATCATATATCGACAATAGCTCCCTTTTTAATATCAGTCCGCTGCAATAAAGATGGAGATTTCTATCTATGTATTGTAAATATTAAATTCAGAAGGCAACGAGAGCCTGATAGCCACAGCTAGTAACAAAGTGAATAAATCTAGTACTAAAATAGTAAATTCTAACGTTGAATAAATACTACTGTAATAAGCATGTGGACTACTAAATAAATATCTTGGTGATTCTTTTTAACATTCTGGGGCTACGTGTGTTTTTTTTTAGGTACTTAACTTTAGTCAAATTTTTAAAATTCCTCAACACCAATAAAACCAGCACAGTTAGATAGCTGTAAACAATCTCTTTCCAACGGTACCTCACTTAGGCTTGTATGTCATTTCTGAGTAGGCACTACAGTTTCGGAAATTTGCAATCTTTTCGACAATTTCCGTTACCATAGAAACCGTTTAAAACTTGTTTCGGAAATGTCGGCTGGGGTTTCGGGATGGGTCCTAATCTCTAATTTTGCGATTGGTGTGATTTTCACCCACTCTAAATAGCTGAAAACGGCGGGAAGGAATCCGATTAACAGCGCATGTCTACGACAGCCGAACGTCCTCTGTTTTTCTGTTACATCAATTTGATTGAAAATAGCGATTAGGATTCAGGGTTGGCCTTAGGCTTTAAAAATTACTCGTACTGGTAATGCTAGTTATAATTGAATTCTCCGTCCAATTTTACATTTAGATTTACAAATTTCTTTCTGTACAGTGGCTTTTTAAATTTACAGTGACATTTTTTAGGCAATCGGTATGTGGCTGTGTCTCATTGTCTGCCATCTTGTCCAGTGACAGTCCAATGTCAACAAAGCCAAAACAGAAGTGCGCATGCGCAGAGAAAACCTTCTTTCTAAGACGCAAGTTTTAGCATCCATTTCTACATCTCATCTCCACAAAAGCCTACATATCTCAGCTCAGAAATGACATACAAGCCTAAATGAGGTACCATTGGAAAGAGATTGTTTACAGCTATCTAACTGTGCTGATTTTATTGGTGTAGAGGGCATTTTAAAAATTTGACTGAAGTAGCTAGAGAAACAAGAAGTTTTCTCTGCGCAACCAAACAGCGCAACTTTCGTTTTGGCTTTGTTTTTATTGGACAAGATAGCAGACAATTTTTTTCAGACACAGCCACATATTAGCGATTGCCTGAAAAATGTCACTGTACATCTAAACAGCCACAGACAAGAAAGAAATTTTATACACAAATGTAAAATTAAACGGAGAATTCAATTATAACTAGCATTACCATGTCTGGTAATGTTTAAAGCCTAAAGCCAACTTTGAATACTACAGAACGTCCGGCTGTCGTACATGCGCTGTTAATCGGATCCATTCCTGCCGTTTTCAGCTGTTTATAGCTGGTGAAAATCACACCAATCGCAAAATTTCATGAGAGATTAGGACCTATCCCGAAACCCCAGCTGACATTTCTCGAACAAGTTTCCATGCCAAAAAGACCGCAAATTGTCGAAACTGTAGTCGCTACTTTTTTGCTAGTTACAGCACAAGTACAATGCCCATTTTGACTTGACAATTAAGTAAACAACACAGAAAAAATACATATGAGACCGGGAGAATTTTATAAATTATTTATTTGCAATTTGTGCTTGTAAAAATTGAGCATTTACCAGCTCCTTTTAAACTAAAAAAAAGAAAGACAAATTCTTTAGGTACTTACGGGACATGCATACTGTGCAGAATTATGACTTGTTTAAAAAAGTAATAGTAAAAGTAAAAGATATTGATTAATCATAATGCAACTGGAATTTGTAAAATACGTTTAAAGAGCAACACTAGATTGAGATATCCAACATATGCTAAACAACAACAGTTACCTTAGTCTCTCATATTGGAGACCTGAGTTCGACCCCCCCCCGTAAGGTGATGTGGTTTTTTTTGGGGGGGGAGTTGGGACGTACAATCAAACAGCCGAATATGTACAGTCCATGGCGGACAGCACCTAACTGAGACAGTTTTTGGCTATCTTCCGAATAATGTACCCAAATTATCGAGACCGAAAATATACCCTAACAGGGCCTCAGTCACGTGTCAATTGCGGACTTCTGATACTGCTGAGATTATCTCCTACGCCGCTACGCGTGGCCCAAACTATCAGTAAATGCGCCAGATACCTGGGATGCTTATACTTAAAATGTGCAACAAAGCAATAAAAACAGCAGTAGAACAAAAACATCCCCTGCCAGGAAGCAAGACCTGCATTTCGAAGCACCTAGGGCCAGCACCTCACAGGAAGCGACTAAGTTGCGGCACAAAGTCACCCAGATGAAGAATGAAATTAAAAATCTGCAGACTGTCGAACATGGCAGTCAACACAGACACAGAAAGATTTCTTCTTTTCCAAGTGACTGAACTAAGTAAAGTCAAATTGCTCTAGTCCCTAAAAGCAGCTCAAGATAAAACAGGAGATGGTCAGGTGAAAGACCTAATCTTTCTACTCAGAAAGGAAATTGCATCCCTGCAGAAAGATCAAAAACAAGAAACCCAGCATGCAAATGTACGAAAAAAACTAAAAGCAGTGAAAAAACACTATCAAAGAATGTGTCAGTGTTCAACATAAACTTTTAGTAGATGTAGCAAAATCAAACTGGCAGGGACAGAACGGGTACAGACACAAACACAGGAAAACACTAAAACGAACCTAGGAGATCAATACAATGTGGTAGAAGAAACAAGATATGAACTCTAAGAAATGTAGCTGAAAAGTGAGTTCACAGCTCAGAAATCTTCACAGCTTGGTCCAACAAATAATGTGATCTATCCCACACAGTACTGTGGGCGAAACACGTCTGAGCAAACATATAATAGCCCAGAAACAGATGGCGAAATTAAAAACTCTGAGGAATACATTACTCAAAAGAAATATGAAACTGAACTCCTCCGAGAATTGGAAAAGGCCTACAAAATCTTTGAAAAGAAGGCATGCAACAATGGATGGGATCCGGTTAACAGCGAACAAAAACGTTCATTCCACTACCACATCAAGAACTGTTATAACTACTGTGCTAACTGTACTGTGCAAAATCCAGGGAATCGCCAGATGACACGAAGGTAAAAGAAACCCACCCAGACAAGACATGTCAGCACTAGACCCCAGAAGGCACCGCCCCCAGGCAGAAAATCAAATTCAAGCAAGTTAGGAAAGGGAGAGCGCGCGCGCACACACCCCCTTCCTCACTGTAACTGGGTTTGGTCAGTTTAATGAGGGAAAAGCATGACATTTATTTATTAAAAGAACCAAACTGACAGTAGGGACCGCTAAACAACAGAAATTACTTTCGCTTACAAGAAACACCTGTGCCTTTCAGGACATACTTCAAGATTACTACAAGCTCAGTTTACTGGTTTTCTTTATATCTAGTTGTTAGTCTAACTATTTTGGTCAAAACAAGCGTCATGGTGGCTTGGAAAAGATGATAATGGAAGGTGCAGTTTGTGAAAGGCGAGGCAGGGGTAGACCAAAGGTAAGATGGATACAAGACATTGAAGATGCATTGGCATTAAAAGCACATGGGGCTGGAGAGCTGGCTAGGGAAAGGGATACTTTCAGGCGTGCTGTAAAAAACTTGCTGATTGATGATGGTCTAACTGCATTTACACAAATTCCAAGGGACCCAGAAATTATGAGTTCAAGTTAAATATTTATACTAATTGGGAACTAACATTTACATCCTTGCACGTATTAACCAAATGTTTATCTCAATTGAGTTCATGTTAATGAGTTTACTGTGTATTCAGCTTGGCATCTGAAGGTTAAAAACATTGTATAATATAATTTTATAGTTCAAGTTAAACTAAAATGTCCATGCACTGTGCCCAAAGGCAAAGGAACATGAGACCTCAAAATTACAGAATTATTAACATGGAGTAAGCTGAAGAGGTGTAGACTGGCAATAATAGACTGCTTCGATTTTGTGTAAATTTGTTAAGGGCATATGCTAATTTAATTAGTAATTGACTAAGAAACAGTTCACGTGTGGTATGGGCTGTTAAAGCCATACTTGGTTTAAACTACTGTTTATGCATAGAGTATGAACATCCCAGTGAGTCTACAGTTGAGTTATTGGACAAGATCTTTGTAAGCTTTGCTAATCCGTGATTTATTAATTAGGTTTATTCAATCACCTGAAAAAAATCACAACATATCTCTGGGTTCTGTCTGGGTTTTTTCTATTAAATGTAAATATGATCAGACCTATAGTTTTCACACTTTCATTAGAAGTGTAGTGTATGGGTTTTTATTATTCTTGCACTAGACGTTTTATCATAAATTATTGTATGGTTAAGAGTTATAACATTTGTACACATAGTTTATTAAGTTGAGTTGTGTAGTCTGGTTTGTAATTGAAATATTTTGCTCTTTTCAGGAATCAAAATAAAAAAAAAATGTCAAGGTTCTTTCAAGCAGGGTCAGATAGTGAAAGTGAATCTGAGTCAAGTGATGATGGAATTCAGGATTCTCGCCCTGTGGCTCCATCTAGGTACAGCTTGTGTAATATTATAACCTCCGTATTTGACATTTAGGAATAATAGGTCACTCGTCACTTATGTGTCTTACAGAGTCCCGTAATGATATATTGTTAACACTGACATGCATGTCTTAAGAGTTAAGGATGGTGTGCATGGCTCTGTTTAGCTGCAGAATCTAAATCATGAATGTCTACAGAAGAGGAACAGAAAATTCAGCTAAATTTAAAAAAGGCTGTACAAGTATAAGGTGGTTAGGAGAAAGCATTACATTGTCAGCTCAACATCTTTTATATAGAAAGTTCTCCTCAATTGGCACATGGAATGTTTAGAACAAAGAATTTAGGAAAATGTTTTAAATAGTAAGGTCAGTAAAGTATCTGTGTCAAAAAAAAGCTACCTATATTAAAGATCAAATGAACAGATAGATAGGCTGAATATTTGGGGCATGAATAGACGGTATGTCCATAAATTTCAGGTATTCCATCTGCAGTATTGAATTTTTTGTATGTCTTCTTCGTGCTCACCAACTGAAAATTCTGACAGAAAGTTCTTTTTCTTCATCCACATCTGGACTTATGGCTTATTCCAGAACCTGAGTGTTGCGGGCACATCTATTTTACAGATATAACTTATTTATGTACAAACTATTGGTTCATTACCTAGCAGGCAGATACACTTTGACATCAAAGGAAGTCCCAGTTTAATTGGTTCTTACGACAGACTTTTTGTGTAGGCAGTAAGTCTAGTCTTTTCCCTACAACAGAGCCCTGGAACCACACAGGCGGAATTTGAATATTAGCTGTAAGAAACTGTTTAAGGAAGACATTAGAAAAGTAAAAATTTGATGAATGGTGTTACATAGAGCTGTATCCGAGAAATGCCATTAACAAAAAATTATGGAATAAATAACTGAATAAACAGTTGGCATGGCTTCATCACTCAGCACATTCCCATACATAGTTTATGCTTTTCCTTGATGGCTGACGAAGTTCCTACATTAATGGTGCTAGGGGCAACCCAATTCAAATTATGCATATTGATTGTTATTTAGACCCTTTGTTTAATCTTTCTTGCCTGCTAAATTTACTTTTTTCTCTTTTACTGTTGGTTTGGAATTATTTTGGAAAGACTAAAATATACTAAAAATAAAAAAAAACACCAAGAGATGAACAGTCAGGATTTTGACTATCAGATCCTTTCCTGACCAGATAGCCACACTACGAATTGAATTCACCTTTTTACATTGGTTTCATAGACAAAATAAAACATTTGACAGCATTGATATAGAATGAAAATTGATGAGGCACTATGGGATCCCACAGAAAATTATTAAGTTAGAAAAATCAGCATATAAAGACATTTAATGTTAAGTTCGTTATGTTAGAAAGCTAACAAGTACATTTAAAATAAGAACTGATTGTGCGACAGGGATGTCTTTTGTCAGCTCTGCTTTTTCTAGTGGCAATAGATTGGATTATAAAGACAGCAACAGCTAACATAAGGAATGGTATTCAGTGGATCCCTACAAAACAGTTTGATGACCTGGACTTTGCTGATATTTCTTGTGTGTCCTGCTCATGGAATTAGATGCAAGATACATTAAATATACTTGTGAGATCACAACAGCTAGGTCTGCACATCCATAGGGGAAAGACAGGTGATGAGAATCAACCAGGCAGATAGTAATGTAGTTTTTCTTAATAGTATCCCACTGCAAGATGTGGAGTCATACACCTATTTAGGCAATAAAAACACATTTTCATTGGACTGGGTTTTGTTCCATATGGCTCAGTCTCAGTATGACCTCAGTATCTCCGGCAATGGTCCTCAGGGATCTCGATAAAAATTGTACTAGTGCCTGAACAACGCCGCTGTGAAATAAACCCATGACCTTCAGAGCGGGAGGCAAATGGTTTGATCACTTCACCATGAAGACAACCATGAAAAATTACATTTGAGTTCGTAAATATTTTAATAAGCTGTAGTGGCTAAATGAATGATTTTTTTAAAACACTTAGTTTTGTTTTTAATAGTAGAAACCTTTGTTATTATTGTATTTCTCTACATGTAAATAATGTGTGTTATATTTGTTTAGAGCCATACAGTTCAGTGACGATGAAGAGGACACAAAGCGGGTTGTCAGGAGTGAGAAGGACAAACGGTCAGTATAGTACGATCATGTATCAAGTTTTATTGTTAAATGTCAGTTTACACATTGTGTATCAATACAGCATGTGAAAAGAAATCTAGGATTAGTGTCAGATACACTATATGTTGATTTAATCAGTCAGGCGGCTTCTCTCACCTTGCTTGTACTCTCTGGAAGACTTTCTTTAACTTGATATTCTTTCACTGTTGTGTTCTTGTTTCCTTGTGTGGGTTCCTGGGCCCCATTATGGGGGAAAGAATAGACCCCCTGCCTTTTCAGAATTCATGTTGTAAGAGTCAGCTAACTAGAGACCTCTTCGAAGTCGGATTGCATCTGCCCGAGAGGGAAGAAACAACCAACTGCACACAAATAAGTCAGTAAAACGATGGTACATGCCAAACTCAGGCCCTGGCACAAAGTCAAAGTCCAGAACAACCAGGACTTTCCGCCTGAGCTGGAAAACAAAGAAGAAGTGTTTTTTGTAAAGCCGACCCTCCCTTTTTTTCTAGATTTATTCCTAACTCCATCTTCCATTTATACAAATCTGCCGTTTTGTTTACACCAACTTCTACTTTCTCAATTCACCCTAAAATGTTTATCTATTCAAAGGCAACTAATGTTGAATTCTATTTGAGATTGTAACATTTTGTGTAAGCCCAATTACTGATTTTTTATACTGTGGTGTGCTGATCTTGCTCAGATTAAGTCTGGTTTTGTGTGTGCCTGAGACTGTTGTTTCCATTCATGTGGCCAAGGATGAGATCTCAGACTGACCGTCGTATGTATGAAACTGTCAGAACGTTGCCTGAGGATCATTAATGGCGGAAGAGGTAGTCAGCTAAGATTTATTTCTGAGTGACTCTTGTACTAGCCAGCAAAAAGTGTAGTGTTTTGAGATTCTCTAATTTAATGCTCAAATATGATCGAATGTGATCTTTAACTTTGCATTGTGAAATATATGTTTATTTCGTCTGTAGATATGAAGAGATTAACGGAATCATCAAACAGCTTAAGAACCACAAGAAGATTAAAGACATGGCAAATGTTCTAACAGGTCTGACATTTGTTAAATTATTGTCTCTTGTGATGTTTCTCTGTTATTATTGATTAATTTTGCTGCGGTAGTCTACCTCTGAAACAGAATGTTGAGACTTGTGCATGAAACAGTTGTGTCAGTGGCTAGGTATACAATATTAACCCTTTCACTCTGAGAAGATGCAAAGCTGATATTTCCGGGTTGGTACAGCCACGTAAATGTCACTTTCCGACTTGTTTTTATTTACCTGTCAATGCTGTTGGCTGTTTTCCTGCCTGCACAAAATACAAAGGCATTTAGAGGTTTTTTTTTTTTTTAGCCCTCTAGAGTTTCAGCGCCAAAAAGAAGAAGCCTTCAGAATAGGGTTCTCACGGTTTATACAAAAAAAAAATTATACAAAATGAATCGTTTATTTAGTTAGCATTTAGAAAATTATATGTATTCGTATGGAAAATTGAATGAACTAACAGAATATTAATGAATCAGACCGAAATCTCAATATTTTTGTTTAATTAACTTTTCTGATTTTCATTATTTATGCAAGCATTTCTTTTTAACTTGGAAACAAGCATATCTAACCTTTAAAAAAATTGGGTGAATTTTATATGGTTGAAGCTTGAATAAGTCTAAACACTTGTGTTTTGGGAATTAAGGCCCTTAGAGACACTTCTTGCACATGGTTCTACTCTTTTCCTGCCTCCAGCTATGTTTCAGTTGCTATGATGCAAAAGTCCTTTTCGGCATTGTTGGGCACAGGGAACCCCAGAAAAAAATTTGATATAAAATTACTGAACACATCAAACATTCTCGAAAGCCGCCAATAAACATCCACATGTGCAAGAAATATGAGAAGCAATCTAATTGGCTGGTGCGAAAACCTGCCAGCCAATCTCAAGGCTTATAATACATAGGGCTCTCCGATCGACTCAGTCGTCCTTTCTGCTACTTTGTGTCGAGCTGATATTTCAGCCGCTTCGTCTCCAGAGGGTCAAGGCCAAGTTGAAAGCCTCAGTGATAGAGGTCATGGGGTCAATGCAAGAGTCATCTGATACATATGGTTTTTTTCCCAAGAGGAATTATTTCATTTTATGCTTTACTTTGTTTGTGTTTATTGATTACTGTCTATATATATCTGCCACATTCGATGCCCTTAAACATCTATGTAGAACTGTCATATGAAACTAGTCGGCTGCAGTAAAAGTTTAACATGCAAAAGAAGCAAAGTACTCATTTTATGTCGGTTATTTAAATCCCAGGGCTGCCTACTCCTAGCTTCTAAAGACAGCTCGTGATGAACAAGATGTTCAATATATGGAAGTGAGGTTAAGCGGTCATGAGTAGGGTGTGGTGACTTCTTGGATGAGCCCTGTACCCAAGCACCATGTATTTGCTCTGCATTCACGGAAGCCTCCTAGGTTGGTGGGTAATGCTCATTATCTGCTCCTGCCTTCTCTTGAGGGCTGACTAACATTACGTTGCTTGTCTAGACCGGCCTCATGTGAGGCATCACCTACTACATGTGGTGACTACATGAGACTGCAGTGTCCTTTGAAACTAACCGGGAAGGCTAACTGTCAACAAATGCTCGCAAAAGTCGGATATGTAAGCTGAAAGGTGCAAATATCGCAACCATGCTGTAAACAGGAACAGTGCAGTCACATCTTCTAGTGAATGCAAAAGAAATCTTTATATGTCTAAATAAAATATTCATGCATATTTGGCAAATTTATTAGGGGCCTGTTTAAAATGGTATTTGAAGGATATTGTTCTGTGATCCCAGTGCGCCATATTTTCAGTGTTCCTTTGGTGAGGGAGTTAAATCCTGTTCTGTGTAAATATGATCTTTTTCGTGGCTTTTGTTCTATCTTATTTTTTTTATGGCTTTTGTTCTATTGGCAACTGAATTAAATAACTTAAGTGACGGTGATCTCATTAAAGTCATAAAGCTGTCTAGTTAACCCATGGTGCATTTTCTGTTGAATATAATTGAGTTGAGTCAAGAATTGACATCACAGCACTCTGGGCATTCCCATGTGTGCTCCGTCATCACCTTCAGCAGCCAGTGCAGAGTTCCAAAACTGATGGTACCAGTCACAATCTGGTTATATGTCCGTCTTGCCTTTCCGCTGAGTGTAGTGAGCCGGCCAGACCCTTTGGTTACACCCAGGTGCCTCATTCTCTCCAGGCCATAATAATCTTGTTTCTCTACTGATTCTGTTGCTTGTTCTCATGTTAAATATAAATAGATATGCATTTAAACTTAGCATTTTGTAATCTATATTTAAACTTTATGTTTTGACTGAATTACTGTGTAGACTTTGAGAGTTTGACAAGAGCTTTTGAGAAGGCCAGAAAAGTTATTGACAAGGAAGGTGTGCCAAGGTTCTACATTAGAACTCTTGTGGAATTGGAGGATTTCATCAACGAGGTATGTTCTTTAAGTCAGGATCAAATAAGAAATACATTGTAACTATTGTTCAAAACATGTTTTTACAATAGAATGAATATACTTAAGTTATTAATCCAGATTTTTGGTAGACATTGTTACATCAAATAATAGATCATTAAAGAGGTTAGGAGCAGACTGGCGAAGCAGAAGCTACATTCCAGAAGATGAAAAACTTAATGAGTACACAGGTGTTAAAATTGTAGCTACCCCCGTGTGAGTTCCGGGGCCCTACTATGGGAAAACCAAGTATAGACCCACTGCCTACCCAAAAGCATGTCGTAAGAGTCGACTAATTGGGAGCTTCCTTCGGAGTCGGAGAGGCAAGGAACCAACAGTCTGCATACAGATCTGTCAAACGGATGCACATGCAACACTCAAGTTCTGGAACAGGACTGCAGTCCAGAAGTGGACGAACAACCATAACTTTCCGCCGGAGTTTACAGCCAGTGAACGCGAAGAAGAAGAAAATTGTAGCTATTCTGCTGTATTGTAATGAATATTGGAATGTGAATGGATTATAAAGAGCTTGGAGAAAGTGAAGATAAGTTTATGGGATGAATTTTGTGAGCACTTTAGAAGAGGCTAATGAAAGTAGAAGATTATACACTGCAGTAAGAGGCAGTGACAGTGTTGGTCATGCAGTCTTTGGAGAATGTCATGGTGACTGCCAAAGTCTATAGAGATACTAGAGCAGGGCCAGAGAAATGGCATTAAAAGGATGATCTAAGACTGGCTTCTGCAGATACTGGAAAAAAATTGATCCAGGGCCCCAAGGATTGAGACCTGATGCTGTCTGATAAGGTTCATATTTATGATGGGTCACTACAAGTGTTGTGTTGCTGTCTTTCTCGTGTTTTTGTGTGGCTTTCTTTGACACAAGCAAGGTTGTAAAAGTGCCATTGTTGACTTTAATTTTCATCTCCTGGTACTTTTTTGCTCGACTTCTATGCACGACTCACTTTTTAGAAGTGGTTTTTTTAAAAAATATTTACCTGGTATTTTCCATACTCACTAATTGTTAAAATATTTTACACCTGTTGTTACTTAATACACAAATTGAGCTTATAAAAATGATTTGTGTTGCAGTGCTGGGAAGACAAAGACTGGCGAAAGACAATCAGCAAAAACAATTCTAAAGGCTTGTCTACAGTACGCCAGAAAATCAAGAAGTATAACAGAGATTTTGAAACAGAAATTACAAACTACAGAGAGGTAAATTTATGTAGCATTTTAATTTTTAATATTGGTCATCTGTGACATTATTTTCTGTTGGGTGTTCCATATGTATTCAGAAAATACTGACTGGCATATTTCCCAGTTGTAAAGGTTTAGAATATTTGATATTTTCTTGTTTATCTTACCATTTCATTTTATCTTTTTTTTTAGATGTAGAGAATGTTCTATATGTCTTTCTCCATGGAGTTGAGTGTTCTCAAGAGCTACTGAACCAATCCTGATATACAGATGTGAATCACGGACGGTCTGGAGAGCGGTGACAATTATCGGATGAATGAGAACACACCATTGACATGAAATTAGCTACAAAGATAAGATAACTGTCAGTGTCGGTCTGCATTCTGTGGACATGTCACGAGATAGAGAAAGCTGCAGTACATGACTGGGAAAGTTGGGGGCATATAGGTAGAGTAGGTTCAAGTAAGAAGATGTTGATCATTATGGCATGGAAGGGTATCTTTTAAAAAAAAATGATTGACAGTCCACGAGACTGGGTAGTTGTAAATGTTATATGGCATGGCTATAGTTTGTGTTGTAGGCCATCCATAAAGACTTTCACTAATATTTAGGTTGGTGAAACACTGCTCTGGGCCAAGATTGCAGCAGTTATTTCATGTTTTTATTCTCTGGGGCTTGTGGTTTCAGCACTAACACTTCAGGGCAGTAGTTGTGGTTACTTTTGAGCCACATCAAGCGGTACAATCTGTTTGCAGGATGCATTTTCCACAAGTGCTGTTTAGATAGGTGTTCTTCAGGGCTAAATAACATCCCTTATTTGCAGTGGGGTGATGACTTTGTTGTGGCTTACCATATTCTGGTAATGCATTATTGGAAGTACACAGCCCTATATTACCTCTGAGCATTTGTTGAAAGGGTGCATCATGAATGTATGTAGCCTGTCATAAGATTCAGTAGAGCTAACCAGTGTCTGAGGTGGGGTACAGAATGTCTCCAGAAGAATTTTATAAATGTTTTCATCAACATCCAAAAATCTCTATGGTTTTTTCTATCTCAGAATCCAGATGCTGGTGATGAGGTCGTTGAAGATGGAGAAGATAAAGGTATGATCCATTGTTATAAAAACAGTTAAATAACTAGGATTGGCATCATAACCTATGTCTCCATCTGTCGTAATATATGTCTCCATCTGTATTTTTTATGTTTTGAACCTGCTATTTTACTGCTCAACGTTCTTAACCCTCCCTAAATACTTGAATGGTAGTTCTGATCATTAGAAATATATACGGGGCATACGTTCGGCGCCGACAGTGTTGTTTGTGCAAATCAGAACTTCTTTGTCAACACCTTAAGCGTTGCTCAGGCCTTGAAGTGTTTATCCTATCCTCTGAGAAATGGCAAAACCAATTCCACTTGGGTCCAGTACCACATAAATTTCACTTTTTTTCACTTATGAGATGCATAGGTAATGCTATTGACTGTTCAATTCAGTACAATTGTTTAGAAGAGCAGAATATGAATATATTATGTAAAAATAGTATTTAGTGGGTTTCTGGAGAATAAAATAGCTTTTACAAAGCCAAGTGAATGTCAGATTCTGCTGTAAATCTTGGGGATATGAGGTCATCCCCTGCGTTTACAGTTTTGCCTCTGGGAATGTATTCTATTCAATGCTTCACTATGTTCATCAGGGAGAAAATTCACTCTTTCAGGACGGCATTATTTATGGGGTTTGGACAGCATTAATTTGTGCTGAATTTGTTTTACTGCATCATGTGAGAAAGCTTCAAACCTTCCTGAAGAAAAAGTACTGGCAGTATAGAGACGTAAAATATCATATTAAAGAGAGAGGCATGCATAATAAATCTAAACTTTTAAAGTCAGTATTACCAATTTTTTTAATTATTAAAATCGCACAATATTCAAGAATTTTTAGCCACATATTAGGATACATGCAGATGGGGGATCACAAATTGTGCAGGGGCATGACCTCTCATGTCAGTCGGCAAGGCACTTAATGATAGTTAAATGTAAAATGGCGAATAGTCAATTTACCATCTGTTTAATTATGAGCGTCACTGCTGTGTGTACACATTTTCAGTGCTTGTAAGTCACAAGTGTTAATATTTAATCAGACCTGGTAAATGTTAATTTCTGTTATTGTTGTGACCAATACTATATATCAATATCTGTAGATGAGGCTGCTGATGAAAGTGATGAAGAGATTGTTGTGCCCAAACCAGCTCCAAAAGTAGCTGAAGCAAAAGCATCCAAATTTGCTAAATCTGTAAGTTTGTGCTCAAACGTGTTACCTGTGTTTGTGAGTAAATCTATTTTCTTGGGTAGACATATATTTGCAATATGGTAGCTCTAAACTTTGAAATTAATAGTAAAAACATGGATATACTTGTGTGTGTGTGTGGATTCAGATTATTTTAGTATCACAGCATTATCTGCAGTGTCACAGAGCTTACTTCCACTGCATTTGATCCACTGCCTCTGTGTGACTGAGTACGTTTGTTGCCAGTTCTAGTTTATGTAATGTTGGCCTCAGGTTAAAATGTGTCATAAATTGATTCCTGTTTTTAGCTCATATATGTCAGTTTGCAAGGTTCTTTTATTGTTTCTGCTCTCCATTAATTCCTGCTATACTTCCTATGTAACCTCAGATCAGTTTTATTCCTCATTTTAAATATCTTAATTTTGTTAGTTTCAAGTCTCCAGATAGCAGATATAGTTGTATTATATGTAACATTGTTTCTTATCCTTGGAGTACTTATAACAGTTTCACAGTACAGATATGTCATATATGGGTTTACTTACTATTAGCATTACAGCTACTTAATATAATTCAAACAGTAACCATTGTTTATACTATTGCAGAAGATACCCGATCAGTAAAGCAGTGCTCTATCTATCTGCCTGTCGGAGCTTCCCCCCTAGACTAGCTGCCGGCGAAGGGTCTGGTCTGCACTGCCATAGCACAAAGTTTTCAGGTTGCATGTCCTCTTCCTAGGATAAGGCTAGTATCCTCACCAATGCGCTCCTCCGCCTGAAGCCGTTGGCACAATATGGAATGCTGGGTTAGTATACGCCGCCCCAACATTCGGCATAACAGAAGACAGGTGGTACCGGCTACTGTTATACGGTAGCTCAGTCATATCTTACCAATACCTGACCAATATATATATATAGTTTTATTGTTGTGGGGTGTTTATTAAAGTTTTATTAATGTATGATCCTTCTGAGACATTCTGTATTTATAATAACATAGGTTGAGATAATATAAATTGAACAACATATCAAAGCAAACTTTTGGCCAAGAGAAACGTCGGTGCAAGTCAAGCTTTACAGCTTGCTGAGTGAATTACAAAAGACAGTGAAGTTTATACTAGATACAACATTGCAGATATAGATACTTTTTTCAAGCGAACGAACGAAAAAAAAGAACATAGATTGAATAAGCACAACATTTAACATCTTACAGTTATTTAATTTTTGTTGAGGATACTTCTGTAGTTGTTCTCTTCTCATGGCTAACAGCTGTGATTAGATTAATAAGAGCAGCTATTTGTGAAAGTTTTTTGTTTGGGGGGAGGGGGGGGGTGCTTTGATATAACCTTTTCTCCCACTTTTAGTGGTTTACTTTTGAGTAAGAATATGACTGGTAACTATATTCATTATTTGTTTGTTAATATTTCATTCTAGAACAACTGAACAAGAGTCTCAGCGACGTGTGCAGAGAATTAAAGACAAGAAATTCAAAACAGAAAAGGATGACAAGAAAAAAGATGAAGAAGAAGAGTGGCAAGAAGTTAATAGAGGGGTGCCTATTCAAGTTATTGCAGTAAGTATAAGGTTGCTTCATTTGATAGTATTGGGTACTAAAGAAACACGTATGGGGGAATGCTACAGGCTGATATATTCATGCATGCCTTTGCAAAGAACCTTTTTTTTTGTTTTGCATAGGCTAATTTGTAATGTAAGACCTGCTGTCTGAGATTCATTGGTCTTAAAATAGCTGCAGGAGAAGTTTCTGGGAAGTGAATGGCGGATATTGTATCACTATATCACCCATCAAATCTTATCAGTTCACTAGGATTCTTTTGGATCGCCTGCCTCTCTGGCAGCATCTAGTGATGGGCAGGAGGCTAACCAACACTAGTGGTGTTAGCAGCCACAAACACAGAGAGGTCTACTAAGGATGAGGTTAGAGGACTTTTGCGCTTATTGCTTCATGTACATAATGATCTGTCAGCCCATCTCAGTTGTAGATTCCTCATATCGCAGGACCTTTTTAAAGGTCGTTGCTCTCATCAGAGTTAGGAGACTCAATATACTCATTATTGTGCAAGTAAAATTGTCTACACACAATAGGACTAGCATGTTATTCTTATTGTGGAGCTCATGGAGAGAAGGAATAAAGCATTGTATCATAAGTTGATGAAGGATAGGACACATATTGAGAAAACTTGATACTGTATTGACTAGAAATTCCTTACCCTGCAGGAGAAGTAAAAGTACACAAAGAATGCAGACAGATAAATAATATGGGAAAGAGATCAGTTCTCACAGGTCTCTGTCTAGTTGCTCTGTTCCTGTGCCTGTTGCTGTCACTTGTGAACAATTTGACACTGCTGTCTCGGCAAAGTCAGGAGCATACATGCACATTTCATGCATGAAGCAACTGTCAGAAGTGTAACACAGTCTGGCAATGGAAATGCAGCTCATAGTCCGTGGAGTAGCAATTACAGTAAATCAGTAGTTGCACGTGCAATTAAGCGCATAAGGCACCACATTGCTGTAATGTATTTTTCCCTATCACCTGCCATTTTTCTTTGCTCTTCACATCACAAGCCACGTTAGACATAAAAATGAAACCTGCAACTCACAGTGTGGTGTCATATACTTAGTAGCTGAATGGTGAAACTAATCTTTCACTCCACACGTGGAGAAAAAAGCCATACCTAACAATCGCCAGCCATTGGATACTAAAGATACTGGAAGTACTAAAGACATGGCAAAGAAAATGTTTGCATTGGTTGAGACCTGTGCTCTGGTGGGATAAATGACTGAAGAAGAATGCTAAGAGCATTGTACTTGTAGCAAACAGTTAAAATGAGTTGCAAAGATGAAAAGAAATTGCAAGAAATTATAGTGAAAAGACAAGATTAAGTCTTTAAAAAAAAAAAGAGGCAGTTATTGTACGTTGACAGCAAACTGTGTAACACTGAGAGAAGTAGAGAGATACAGTTCAATAATTAGGGTCATTGATAACAATATTCCATGTACAGATTTCTCACTAGGGAGTGAATATAGTGCTAAAAAGCTTATAACAGAATTTTAGGCTGAGAAAAAAAATACACATAATTTCTTGTGATGTGCTGGTATTTCTGCTGCGATTTAATAAAAAATGTTTAATCTTGCCAGGAAAAGCCGAAGATGTTTGCCAAAGATCAGGAGATCACCATTGATGCAGTTGTAAAGAAGCTGAATGAAATTGCTGCCATGAGAGGCAAGAAAGGAACAGACCGATCCATGATGATTGAAATGCTGCAGGAGTTGAAACAGATTTCTGAAGCACATAATCTTGGAGCCGCTGTGTCTGTCAAGATCTGTTTCAACATCATGGCTGCTATCTATGACTACAACCCCAACATTGCTACCTGCATGAAGAGTGACATGTGGGAGAAGTAAGATCACATTTTGTTTGAATGTTTTGTCTTTAAACTGGTTTTTCTTTTGCATTCATTTTTTTTAAAAACAAAATTTTTGTATTATGCTGTTTTAAGCAGATAAGCGGATTCCTTAAGAGCAGCTGGTTGGTGGTATTGAACTTTCCGCAGTACTTAGACATTTCCTCACCATCTCACGAGGAGGCTTCTATATATGCACGAACACCATTTGGTGCCCTAGTTCAATGCTACCTCCATAGATCATCTATCTGATCCTGAACATACTTATGGGAACTTAAACACAAGCCCTGTTCTTTTGATAGTTTTCCATAAATGCTGTGTTTCCGGCTTGTCTAAGATGGAATGTTTATGAGCATATAGTAGGTCAGGGTCTGATTATATTCACTTAAAATTGCATTTAGGGATTTTTTTTATCAACCGGTGGCATTTCAAAAGCCCTTATGGCCTCATAATCTTCTTAAGATATTGTTAAAGGTTACAGGGTCACGACATGAGTCACTCAGTACTTGTATTTTCAGGCCCTTGGAGTATGTGTACAGTTTAATGTTCAACTCTGATTGCTCTATAGATTGGCACAGCAATTTTAAATGTAGATAAATAAATTGTTTAAAAATTGTGTCAGTAATCTATGTAAAATGTTTAACAGATTTTTCCAGGGAACTTGACCAGTGTTTTAGACTGAAGGGGAAAAGGGTTAACTTGCGGACAAAAAATTATGATATTCATGATGCTAGAATTTTATATACATGATGGGTTTTTCAGTCGTAAAATTTTATTGTTGATTATATTTTTGTTGTTGTTGCTCTACTGTATTAAAGGATCATTTGTAAAGGTAAAGTTGGGAGATGTGAACCAGCGTCATTGCACACGTTATAAACCATAAGTGGACAGATGATAAGAATTGTCTGCCTGTGTCGTTGTCAACACGTAACTCTGTGGCTACAGCGACGTTCCTCCATTTACCCCAGAGTGTCAACTCTGGTACCCGTTTCCTAGAGGCTGGGTGAACCCCGGGAGCCGCCCGGTTTTGAACACTGACCGTGGGCTACAGCAAGCCGCAGCTGGATTTAAAAGTGAGCCTCCTATAGATTGCGCTAACGCGGCCCTAAATTATGTGCCAGTAACCAAAGCAAAAACAAAAAAACATTTTAAATTATACACCTAGTGTTGATTGAAAGTACATGAAACAGAAGGTTGTGGATAGACATGACTACCAGTGCCACGCAGCGTGGACTTCAAGAAGAAGATTTATTAAAGTTTTTCTAATTTTTCAGATCCTGTCTGCCTACTATACAAGAGCTGCTGAACACACTGTTGGAGAACAGTGATATCGTTGTTGGAGCTAACATCTTGGAAGAGAGTGAGCAGCTAGATGTAAGATATTTTCACTGCTTTGTCTCCATATTCTATATTTTGTTTCACCGGTATATATATTACGAGTCTTTGTACAGATGGCATAAACTAGAAGATGAGTAACAGTAAAATGGTGAAGGGTATTTGTAGGGGGTGGGGGCATAAAAAATTGATCTCATCAAGAGATATTAGTTTATCTATTGTCCAGACAACACAGGGCTTTAGGCGTCGGTTGTCTGAAGCTGATAAGACAGTAAAGTCTGGGTTTTTACATATTGCAGACTGACACAGAGGCTGATGAATTAATATAACCAAGACTGTAACATTTGACATTGTTGTGACAATAATAGGTGTGATCAGTTGTAAGCATAATGTAGTCACTTTGAATAATAGTAAGAAACTGTTTTCTGCTATCTGCTAAAATACACTGGTCTACATTATACGGGGTGCAATGTAAGATATTCAGCTGAGTAGGGGTCAAGACTGTTTGTTATATGTTAATATGTGCACCTAGAGTTGAAGCACAAATGTTTTCCATATGCTGTATGTGCTGAGCTGATGTTTCTCTGCTGTTTCAGAAAGCTCCTTACCGTGTCCGAGGCTGTATTCTCACCATGGTTGAGCGCCTGGATCAGGAGTTTACTAAAATGTTACAGGCTTGTGATGCTCACAGCACAGAGTTTGTAGAAAGGTGAGAGAAAGGAAAGAATAAAATCTTGGTATGTGTTTTAACATCATTGAACTAACTCTAGAAGGCTTGCCATCTGTTGGGATGTGCTGGTGCAGAGTATTTCTCTTCCCACCTGGTTCAGAAGTAAAACTGCAGTAGGAGCTATGTTGTTGAGCTCATTGTTTCCCCATCAAGCCAGTGGGCTGTGCATTTTTAGCTTTCTAACATTGCAGTTGCTCTGTGTTTTTGTATTTTCCCGCTTTGAAACCTGTGTAATCTGAGTTGACTGTTTCTGATATTAGTTTTCATTTTCCTGCAGACTGAAGGATGAGCAGACGCTGTGTGATATCATTTGCAAGCTGGAGAAATACCTGGAGACCTATGGCAGCAGTGAAGAACTCTGTTGCATCTATTTGAGACATATAGATCATCTCTACTACAAGGTTTGTAGCCCGCAGTCTTGTCTTTTTTTCCCCCTCTCTGATTTGTCTATTGTAGTTTTTATAACATTTTCTTACTACATTATTTAAGTTCTGTAGATCAGTTTAGTTCTCAGTATAGATTGTTTGCTGCACTCAGGGCATGTTCACAATAAAATGAAACTTCCACTGTAATAACTCCAGTGACTCTGAAGTTGTTTGCTGAGAACAACCTTGTACACTGAATGTTTTCTTTTGTCCGGAATTTTCAATCTTTATTCAGTTGACTGAGCTGAAAAATAGGATCATTCTTTATCACTGTTTAATGTTGGGGGAAGGAATGCATCTAGAACCAACCTGAAAACAGTAGAAGAGGATAAATATGACACTCTTAAAATAATGCTGCACACAACAAAGGGGGTAGGGTGTTTTGCAGATGTTTTGCATATATCAAAAGGGCTGCCAAGGGAATATTTCAAAACGGAAGTAAACCAGCCCACAACATAATATTTTATGGCAGGCACACGTCTAAGTTTTGCATACATTGATTCTCCTCTATATTTAGAGACCTATATCACTTATGGAGATATCCTTCCTGTGCAATTCTTTACAAACCATAAGTCATGTCATACCAAGGATATTTCCTCCAAAGTCGGAGTACATCTGCCGGAGAGGCGGGGAACGAGATCTGCAAACAGATAAGCCAGTAAAACGGATGTACACGCAAAACTCAGGTCAAGGTAAAAGCCAAAAGTCCATTTTGGACGAACAACCGCGACTTACCGCCGGAATTCACAGCCTGTGAACAAGAAGAAGAAGAAGAAATACCAAGGATATAGGGGTACAATTTTATTTTATGTTTTTTTTTTAAATTATACGCATATTTAGAGATTGGGACTTTATGTTTGTTTAATTTATTTCTCTCCAGTTTGACCCGTCTGCATTTGATGAGAAGCAAGATAATGTAAGTTATATTCAGTTTATATATTTTAAATTGGAGGGAATTAGTTGGAAAACAGAACTCAGAATATACAAAGCCAACATTTTATAGTATACAACGGTGAATGTTTGGAAATGACAGCAGGAATTGCTAGTTAATTAGAGACTTCAGAATCAAAGTCTAAGCAGAAGTCTGAAAATTTTACCACAAATGCAGAATTGAGGAGGAAGACAAAATGTCCATCACTGACAGATATTATCCAGGAGAGAAGCTGGGAGTGTCTTGAACATGTTACCAGAATGCCTTATGACAATTTGATTAGGATGCTCCGATGGAAGACGGGTAATACACATAGGCATCCTAAGAAACCCAGAGAAGGCTAGTAGAAAGGTATAAACAAATGCAAAATTACACGGGAAACCATCGGCACAAAGGCAGCAGTGGATAACTTGTGAATGCCTTGGGTGTCAACAGGTACATCAAGAGGATATAGATCATTTAATTTTATGTATTTGCAGAGATACGGTGCTTGAGCTCTATATGTACATTTCTTCTGTGAGAAAAGTCATTATAAAGGATGTAAAAGTGAGCCTTATAAGCTCCAGACGCAGACTGACAAGTTTATAGGACTGTTGGTGATTACATGTTTGTTTATGGTGTAAACAGATGAAAACTAGTGAAAACGTGATCTCAGCCCAGCAACTTACCATGTGTTGATTAAGCTACCTTACATGTCTTCACCACTGATGTCCTTTTCAGCTGTAATATTAACTCTATTTCAGTCAGTTTTGGGATAAGTCTATCCCAATTGTTACTTCTTTTCTCCTATAACCATGACTTTTTTAGAACTAGACTTAGATTTTAGGCAATAACTGTTCAAGATCAAAAGTGTTAAAGAAATGCTTGCCTTAGACTTGAAGGGCACAACCATAAACTTTCCTATTTCCATTTGTAACAGGCAAGGATATTTATCTTTAGGGAAGATTTTTAATAATTCCAAATGTCATCTTTTCCTTGCTGACCATCCTTACCTGACTTGTCATTTTGTGAGTATCCTCTTGTTTTTGTATGTAGATGATGCTTTGTTGAATCTCTGGCTCGTGATATGTTCTTGTGAAGTTGACTAGTTCTTACTGTTTATTCATTGTTTGATTATAGGAGAATAGTTCTGCAGCAGTTATGGACCGCTTGTGTAAATTCATCTATGCCAAAGACAGCACAGACAGACTGAGAACACGGGCCATGCTGTGCCACATTTACCACCATGCGCTGCATGACCGCTGGTACCAGGCCAGGGACCTGATGCTTATGTCCCACCTCCAGGACAACATTCAACATTCAGATGTGTCCACACAGGTATGTTTTTGTTCTTGGGGATGTTAACATTTACTGTCATTGTATTATCATACTAGTAACCATTGTCTGCTGTGCTCATGGTTGCATTAGACTTTTTGCTCATGAATACATTATATGAAAAATCCGGTCCTTTAAACAGCGCTTTCAAACATTAGGCTTTATTGCGACCCCTGGCAACAACCAGGGTGGGGCTTCAAAATAATGAAAATTTGCATCTCTCAGGGGGAAGGGCGGAGATAGAAACAAAGACCATGGTGACACCAGAGACATTTTTATCATGGATGGAATGGAAATTGTTAGGTTTACTATAGCATCATAACAAATGAGTGTGTGATGACAAGACACATAAAGATGACACCAGTAATACATAAACAAAACCAAAAAAAAATTCCTGCTCTGTTAAATGTGATTGCCTTTAAAAGTGATTTTTGTGTGTCCTTTTTGTTTTTTATTATCTTTCTGTGCTGCTTTCAAATATCATTTTACAATATAAGGAAATGTAATCCCGAGCAAGATGTGGCCAATAAATCAATCCTTTTCTCTTCATTAGTTTGTTATGTTCGAATTACAGCTAGGGAAAACATTGCTATGATTGTTATGTAGTGTAAGATGTCAGCATTGTCTCATACACTTTCTGTATTTTCAGATTCTGTATAACCGGACTTTGGTTCAGCTGGGCTTGTGTGGATTCAGGCAGGGTCACATTAGAGATGCCCACAATGCCCTCGTTGATATACAGAGCAGTAACAGGGCCAAGGAGCTGTTGGCACAGGTTTGTTGTCCTAATGTCATCTAACAATCACTTGTATGTGGAAAGGGAGACATTGACTGGAACATTCTCAAAGTGTGTTCATTGTAGGGAAAAAAAAGGATATTCTCATATACCCTAGTTATTTCAATGCCAGAAAGTCGTGTACTGTATCAGTTTCTGTCATTTAAAACAAACCATTTATCAGTTCAGACTCATAGTGACACGTTCCATGGCTAGTTGGGGCAGGGAAGTTTGTTAGATATTGCGCAATTATTGTTTGATGTTTCTGTGATCCATATACATCATCAGTCTTAGCATCATGGATGAACTATCTGCGAATGTGGCCACCCATGATTCTTTTGCACCGGAGTACACAAGGTCAGAGGTATCCAGAACTGTAGATGTCCGATCTCGCAGTGGAGCACACTGTTCTCACTTGAGAGCTTTTTCTAGCTGTTTGAGTACCTGTACCTATAAAGTAAAAGTGTCACACTTAGATCGTGAGTCCCTCGATCAAGAAAACCCTTCTATAGTCAAGATCGTTGTGCTTGACCGAAGAGGCAAAAAAAAAAATAGTTTTAGAGGATCTAAAAAAAAAAACCTAAGCTTACGGAGGACTTACAGCCTATTGGCTGAATAACTGAGATATACAGTCGTAAGCGTGGAACCTCTGGTAAGCAGATTTTGCAGCGCCAGGCATATGAATTTCTTTCTTGGTGTAAGTAGTTACTGTCTTTATAATCTAGTTTATAGCCAGTAAAAACAGAGACGACAAAAGATCCTGTGGCACACCTGTTTTTATTTCAAATGTTGAGAAAGGTAGAAACAGGCATGCTGCATGCGAAGGTTCAAGCATGGCTTCAGAGGTTCCCTGAATTTAGCATTCTTTGGATATTTTCTTTAGGTAATACCAGTGTTTTGGGAAACAAGCAAGCAGATAGACTAGCCGGATCTGCACCACTCGGTGGTGAATTGATGTATGACATGCCAGATATTGTGAGCGAATAAACAGTGCAGAGGCACAAATAGATCATCACGAAGAAGAATGGTGCTGCGAGGTGTTACCAGGGAATCCGGCTGATGCCCAGCACTCAAGCTAAAGAAGAGATGGATATACAGACAGTTACTGGTGCCATCGGAGTTGGAACTCTTCTCTTGCTGCTGAAGATGGGGATAGAGAGCTTATGGGGGTGTCCTAAGTGCTATAATGTTGATTATTAAATCAACATACTGTTAACAGGAACCAGTGCTAAGTGCTACTTAGAATCTGTACTGCTGTATACCTGTGAAATGCTGGTTGGTTGAAAACCAGTTATAGTAACCCCTCAAGGAGGAATTGGAAAACCATAAGCTGATTATGGTTTAAAATTGTATATGACATAAGATGAGAAGGTGTGTGCTCAGATGTACTCGGTAATAGCAAATGGCCTACTTAATGGAAGAACTAGTTGAGTAAAGATAAATGCTTGGGTGGCCTGGCTGTGTGTCATATGTAGGACAAGAACCCAGATCTGAGAGAAATCATGTCATGGTGCCTTCGCAGCACGGAATGGCATATGATGATTATAAAGGAAAAAATCGCGATGGATTCAGTGTTTTTCATGTATTTGTTGTCTCTGTTCCCGCTCGTTTTCTCCAACTTCACTTACCTGTTGGCATGTTGGGAGGAGATGCAAGAGTCTTCTGCTAGCTCTTTCTGATGCCTCGTATAGGTTGATGTTCATTTCTTCAGGACTGTTCTTGATGCTGTTATTTAATGTTTTTGCATGGTCTTCCCCTTGATCTGTGTCCTTTGTATTTCTTCAGTCGAGCAGTTGATACCAGGGCAATCTCATCAGATGGTCAGACAAGCTTATCTGTTGCTCTTTAATGAGCTGGGTTTTAGTCTTAGCTTTCTTTTAATTTCTTTATATTTAATAACTGTTCGTCTTAGACATTTTTTATTTCGTAATAGCTTTTTTCTGTGTGACCACTCCATTCATAATTTATTAAGCTGTTGGTAAGGATTAATCAGATTCTCCTTTTGTATTTGTATGTGTCTTTTCTTTTCCCTGTATTGAGTCATGATTTAGTTGTGTTTTAAAGTTATTTCCCAAATGTTGATAGTTTCTGGGATTCTGTGCTTGGCAGTTAAATAATGATTATAGACATGTTAAACTTCTTGTCATTGGTTGTGTGCTGCCTTATATCCACACAGTTCTGAGAGTTTTTGCCTTGTTGCAGGGTCTAGTCCCCCAGAGGCAGTATGAGCGCACTCCTGAGCAGGAGAAAATTGAGAAGCGTCGGCTGCTGCCCTATCACAAGCACATTAACTTGGAGCTACTGGAGTGTGTTTATTTGGTGTCTGCTATGCTGATAGAGATCCCTTACATGGCCGGTAATGTTGTGTTTGTACTTGTTATCTGTGTTGCGTTTATATGAATAATCCAGTGACTTTATAAGTTTAATGGGGTTTGTTGAGTTAATTAATGGTAGATGTTTATCATCAGTTCAGTATGTTGAGGTTATTCAAACACAGTGGTGTTAAGATTTCTTAAGCTTAATCTTTGGCAGTTTGTCCATAGTTTTTACTAGTTTACATCCAGTCTTGTGCTTGTCTTCTGTTGATTTAATATGCTGCCAGCAACCTTTATGTCCTACAATGTTTTATTTGTAGCGTGGTTGGCCTGAGAGTCCAGACCTGTTTGGAAATCCACTTTGGCATGTCAAGATGTATGGTCACTAGACTGGCAGACAAATGTTTTGCCATTGCCACAGCTCTCACACGTAAACAATACAGCCATAGGCTGTCAAGGATCTTTTTATGCTTTCTCTACCTTTCTTTCCATAAATCTTCAGGTTTCTAGAGTTCCAGTTTCTTCCTTCCTATTCCATGGCCCAAATATCGTTATGCTTGTGATAGACTGTGTTCTGATTTTTTTCTTCTTCCCAAACAAATGGATTAATTATTTGGCTGTCCGGGGAATTTTTCATTATTCTTCTGTAAATCCACTTCTAAGAGATCTAACAAATGTGTCCAGGGTTTACAATATATTAAAACGACTACTGTCGAAGTGTAAAATTGTCTTTGAATCTTTTTTCGTTTGTTTATATGCATTTTTAATTTGTCTTTGATTCTCAATATGGCAAGTAATTCACACATGTTATTTGTCTGGATAGCCCATGAGATGGATGTCCGCAAAAGAATGATTAGCAAGAACTTTCATCACGTGCTCAAGATGAGCGATAGGCAAACCCTGACTGGGCCTCCAGAGAGCATGAGGGAACATGTTGTGGCTGCAAGTAAAGCTATGAGAAACGGGGACTGGAGGAAGTGTCGAGATTACATCATCAATGAGAAGATGAATGCAAAGGTAAGATTTCGCCAGGAGTATATAGTTTAACTCCCTCCCTGAAATAGTCTTTCAGTTAATGGATTCCCTGTCTGTTCTCTTGCACTGTCCATTTGATTCCAGAGAGCCTTCACTGCATCCGCTTTATTATATTTTTTATAGTAGCTCACCGCCCAGAGGTGCGGCAACAGCTAATCTATTAGCCCGCTTGTTGCCTCGCACACCTGAATATTCTAGTCAGAAAAAGTTTGATATTCTCTTAGTCTGGATCTTATCAAGTGTTGTAAGCTACCCTGAGTGCAGGACACCAGTTTCAATTTTCTGAAGCATGCTCTGTGAGTCTGTTACAGTTACAATATGTTGGGCTGTGCTGCTCTCAAGCTATTGGAAAGGTGCCGTTAATGTCTCCACCTCCATTCTCATATTGGATGTTGTGCATTGTACATGAGGCTCCGCTTTTAAGCAGTGTCCATTTATTCGCCTTTGCAATAAAACCCTGCCCACTCCTTTTCTCTCTCACTGTAGCCGTATCTGTATGTATTATGAGTTACTGTTTTGAGATATGTTCTAATACCTATATAATAAGCATGAAATAATAAAGCTGGGAATGTAGTCCAAAACAAACACGTCAGTTTATGTCATTTCCTGAGTCTGGTCTGTTGCTCCCCATTATTTTTCATAGATTTTTTCTTGAACGTCACATCACATTTTTACATTAAAAACATTGATTCCATTAGTAATTTAAGTTTTGCTATTTCTTCTTATTCTAAAAGCTTTGAAAATTTACAGCTTGTTGGATATTTTCGGTGAGATTTATACTTGCCATGTTCCAGCTTCCAACACTATATTGAATTATGAAAGTTGTTCCATTCTGGCAGGTTTGGGACCTGTTTTACCAAGCGGACAAAGTCAGGGATATGATTAGTGCCAAGATTCAAGAGGAGTCGCTGCGGACATACCTCTTCCGCTACTCCTCACTATATGACTCAATCAGCATCGACAGCCTGGTGACCATGTTTCAGATTGACAAAACCCTGGCACATGCCACCATCAGCAAGATGATCATTAATGAAGAGCTCATGGTAGGTTGTCATTTTATTTCTTCTTAGAGAAATTCTCTTGGGCTGCTTAAGGTAATAGTAAAACTGTATCCAAATTGTTGTATATTTGCTAGAAAGATGAATGTGAACATTTCCACCTGGTACACGTACAAAATATGTGATGTCTTACAGGAGAAGTGTTTGTAAGTTATAAGGGAAAGTAAAAGATGCTGCTGTTGAGATTATTTGTCATGGTAAATTCTTTAAAACTAGCAGCAGTATTTATTGCAGTAAAGCCTGCCTGGGTTGCTTCTTATATCATATATATATATACAGTAGTTTCCTTTGAAACCCCATTGACCACAGCAGGGAGGGAAGGACTCCTGGCGTTGTTTAGCAGTGAATAAATCGTGAAGAGGAAATAAATTTGTAACAGTTTTATAATTATAAAATTCCCTATGGTAATCTTGTGTAAAGTTTCTGGGGAAAAGTTGTTTGTTATTGGTGAAATTGTCCCCTATAGTGAGATTGTGTGTCATCATTGTGTTTTATAATCTGAATAAATGAACAAACCTGACTTCTGACACTTGTAGGCCTCCTTGGACGAACCAACCCAGATTGTTGTCATGCACCGAACAGAGCCCACCCGTCTGCAGTCACTTGCCTTGCAACTTGCTGAAAAGGTTGGCTCTCTCGTTGATAACAATGAACGCATCATTGAAATCAAGCAAGGAAATTTCTTCTTCAACAAAGGCAGTAAGTTTTTTTGTAGATTGTATGGGCTGTCAAAGAAAAACAGTTACAGAAGAACAGTAGGTCAAATTTCAGGATTTATTAAGAAATCATGACACTGCCAGTAATTTACATTTTTTTGTTGTTGGTTCTTTCGTAAAAAGTCAGCCCAGATTATGTCAAGGGTGTTGAGACCGAGTTTCCAGCTTTGTGCTGCTTTTAACTACCCCAAAACACCTAGAATTGGACCTAACACCAACCTACTTACGTCCCACTAGAGAGTGCAGCCTAGGTCCCACGACTGCATGCAGTCTGTCAATCAACCCCTGAAATATTGGACTGTCTTGTTTGGGGCGACTTATTATGAAAGCACCGCATTGTTCCTTGTTCAGTTAAAGATCATCTTAGTCGCACACCATACATGACTAAATGCTCCGATCTTCTCCTGAATATGTCTCTGAGTGTTTTTAGGCTAACAACTCCCATTCTGTTCTGGTTGATATAATGACAGGTGGCTCCGGCATGGTTTTTCTGTCCCGTACACCCAGGAAATGCAGTCTTTTCAGTGGAAAATTATTTTCCATGAAACTGAAAGCCTCACAGTGGCATTGGTGATGTCTTACCTATTCATAGTTGGCCTATTCTGATCGTTGCACTGCCAAACGGTGCGAGAGCTCTCTCATTGTCTTTCACACCAGCAATTCCTGGGACAAAAATTGTGATTTTGTGCAACACTGCATGCTGTATTAGAGAAAGCCACTGTTTCCTTATATACCCTGCCTTGATCTTCCGTAGAATGCTCATTGAGTTGCTGAGCAAGCATGCATTGTCAATTCCTGAGTTTTTAGCCTTTCTAGGGCCTTTGTTACAGACATGAGACCTCCATAGTCATACTGCTGGTGGAAGAAACAGGCTCCGCGAAAGCCCATGCACTTTGCTTGCGACGAATCACAGAACCATGCTGTTTAAATAACAGCATCTTTCATTGATTTGTGTGTTTCTTCACCAATACTTTCACTTTTGCATCAACTATTCTTCTTCAATGTTCCGAGCCCTTGAGGTTCATTGCTGCAGATATCACCCGCCTCTCTTCGTCTCTCTGGTTGGCCTTCTCTTTCCAGTTGGTGACACCAAGTGTTTGCAGGTCTGCCTGGACGTTATCCACAATCTTCTTGGTCTACGACCATTCAGCTCCCTTGTGTAGACAGTTTGTACCCATGTCATTTAACATTCTCTCAGTATGCCCAAGCCCTTTCAGTCTATTAGATCTCATGATGCCAGTGATCAATGGTGATTTAAACAGATTAATTTCATTGTTGCTTCTCACTCTCCATTCCCTGCTGTTTGCATCATTGATGGGTCCAAAGATGCGTCTTAATACTGTTTTTGAAAATTTGCAATGAGGCTTCATCTCATTTAGTTGTGCTCCAAGTTTCAGAGCCATATAAAATGATTGGTCTTATCAACATTAAATATTTTGGTCTTAGTGTTGCGGGCGGGATAGAGACTTTGACTTAGCAGATGTTGAACCAACTATTGGTGGCGCCAAATCACGACGTAATATTTACCAGTGTGTTTGATACATGTTCCTTTGTGCATACATTGCTTTGTTGTTTTTCCCTTTTCCTGTTCTCTTTGAGAAGCGTAAAGACAGTGCAGTGACTGGAAAACCTTCCACTTCAAAGGGAACATAATCTTTATCATCACATTGTTGTTTCAAGTCGGAAGCTGCTTGTATGGTGTCCACCTTGTCAGTTGACAGCAGTTGTTTTAAGGTGGCTTATTTGACCTCTGTTTACCTAGGAGAGAGTGGGGTGAGTGGTCTTGAGGCATGGCACCTGCCTCAAGTGCTGGAGGTCCTGGGTTCAGGTCCCAGTGAAGACTGGTAGATTTGTTCACGTGGACTTCTAGTAATCTCCCCTGGTCTCTGGGGGTGGTAAGATTAGATGCCCATGTGTATTGCTAAGCACGTAAAAAATCCCTTGGCGGTTGAAAATCAAAAAGAGTAGCCTAGCGGCGATGCCAGGCAAAATTTGAAGTTAAAAATCTACCCAAAGTATTTCAGGATCCTTGCCGGTTTGTGCACTGCTCTGAGATTCTTTGGACTCAGGCTTGAGTTAGAAGTAGAAAGGAGCACTTATTGGTTACTACCCTTGTGTCCCGATGTTGATCTGATGTATAAACAAACCAAAGGGTAAAAATACCTAGGAGAGTCTTATAATAATGGTAGAGAAGTATCAGCTGCTGATCACTTGTATCTGTTTTGTCTCCCTCCAGCTGGCATACACAGATGTTAAGTAGATTTGTTTAACAGATTTACAGGAGGTGGCAACAGTCTGCTATTGAAGCATATTGTTGAACTGTTGATGAAACTACTGATGCATACACTATATAGTTGTCAACTTGATATATCTCTTGTCCCAGGATGAGGATCTTAATCTTCCTGTAGCTTTGTCATCACTTAATTTAAACCCCCCAAAAAATTATAGTTAGCTCACTGTTCTGTGTGTTAGGTTGTGTTCTTTGCTCTTATGATAGAATGTTTTGTTTTTGTTTTGAAAATCATTTATTGATTATAGTTACGCATAATAGCTACTCTGATTCTTTACCATAGTCAGTTTTGTATTGTTTAAAGTTTATTTGTTATCTTTTTTTTATTTCATTTAAAAAAAAAATATTTTACTCTTGTATGCATTTTAGTAACATTTGCACTCAAAAGTTTACGTATAAATGTGTTGGTTGTTTACTGGGGGGGGGGGGTGTTCATGGACAGTCCTGTGTCATAGACATGTAAGTAGAAGTAGTGTGGACTCAGCACTCCAGTATCCATAGATGGCTCTGACCCCCTCCTCAGAAGCTATACAGTCTAAAATTACTCATCATGCCAAGTCTGTTGATTACATGATTTGTTAACACATAAACTGTTCATATCTGGTGGCTCTGGGTTGTCCCCTATATCCAGCCTGGTCAGAAATGTGTGGTACATGTCTGTTGCTCATCAACATTCCTTGCCAACTTGAATACCCTGTGTGCCATGGCATGAACAAACATCTCAGTGGGGACAGGGGAATCAAGATACCTGCTAAATGTTAGCATGTTTTTGTGTGTGTGTGTGACTGAATTTTTTTCATGAAATAACTGTCTTTTGAAGTTCCCATGACCTCAAAGACTGGTAACGTTTTTATTTCTTTTTTTCTTTTGCTTTCACCTTCTTGCAGTCTGCAAAGTTTTAAAAAAAAATCACTTAATGGGTTGTATACTTATATGGGGTACTCTATTGTATAAAAGACTCCACAGGTGATTTCCCTGCTGCGTGTGTGAATGTTCATAAGTTCATAGGTTAATTGAGTGCCAGTAACATTAGTTAAAACCTGTGGTTGCAGGTAATTATTCTTGCTGCTTCCTGGTTTGTCTGCTTGGGGTTTCTCTTAGGTGCATAGTCTTATTTATTATTGTTAATTGCTTGGTTGTGCTTTCCTGCCTCCATATTTGATTATGCACCCATTCATAGTATACTTTGGTAGTTACTGTTTCAAGATTAGTTAACACTAGAAACATTAAAATCAGATTTATTGATTGTTAGGAAAAACATGATCTGCAGCGATATTCTACAGATTGCAAAGAAATGAGGGGATGATTGTTATAAGTGGGCATTAACACCCTAACTTATACTATCTAAATTTTAGATGGACACTAAGTTATACTGTGGCATTTGTTAATACAGTGGCTAATGCTTGCCTGTCAGACCAAAGGTCATCAGTTTTTATCTGCATCAAGGCAGATTTTTATAAATGACCTGTGCCTCTTGGTGCATCTAGTCTAAAATAGCTATCAGGAACTGTTCTGAGAGGTCAAGTTGGCCATATAACCCGTTAAGTGTTGATTGGTTCATTAAAAGGCCGGACGCCAGTGCCTTTAAAAGAGTGGTTTCTTTACGTTACCCTTTTCTACACACATTAGCAACAATTTTTCCTAAATGTTTTTTTTTTTTTATACGATATACCAGAACTGTGTTGAAATAAGAGATAACAATTGTTTTGAATGTTTGCCCAGTTTGGCATCAGTAATCCCTGAGGTAAACATGTGTGTCGATTAAATGCCGTCACTGATTCAGGTGTGGGGGTTCGAATCTCACCTCTTTACTATAGAACATGAACAGATTAATTGACAACTGTATTGTTTTCTGAATTTGCCTTGCCTCCCAAAGGATATGGTAATATTTCAGTTGTGCTTTCATTATTCTGCTTTAAACATTTCAGACAATGTGTAATTCATGTTCATTGTTTTGTTGTCTGTATTTTGTAGCTTATTTTTGTGGTTACTCACTTTCTGGGGCATTGTCTGGTACCCATATTAGGCTGGGTCCTGAAAACAGGAAATTTTGTCACATCTTAAAAAGGGAATTAAAAAAGGCCACTGTGCCAGCAGGCACAGTTTTAGCCTCTGCACGTCTGCAGCTCTTTGTGTGTGGGCACTTCATGTTAACAGGTCTCATATTTGTATGTGTGCAGAAAAGATTTAGTGAAACATATCTTGTGCTTATGGCCAGTCCTATACTGACACATTGGTTTAGTTTGTACATTTACATGTCAGAGGCCTTATCAGAATAATTTCAGAAGATGATTAGCCATCTTCATGAGAAAGGTTATCCAACACTCTCACTAAGGTGGGAAAGTATGTCCAGTTCCATCTCTGAATTTTATTCTCCTATTTAGTTTTTATTATACTGTATGTGCCTTAGTTCTAGTAAATGAGACTTTGCTACAAAAACCAGATTGTGAAAATGAAATAGCCTATAGTACCTTAGTGTCTGCGAGCCATATTTAATAATTATGTAAAAAAAAATGAAAGAAAAAAATCTCTCAGATGTCAAGCTATAAATCACAAATTAACATTAACAGCTGCCAACTAAAATTTAATCGCAAATATTTGTTAGTTTTAACTGCATTCAGCAAGCATTAAACAATTGCCTCTCTCTTGTATATCTGCATTCTGCTCTCCTATTTAGTATGGTCGATATCAGT